TTCTTTCTGCAAAATTTAGTTCCAGAACGACGGTGTAGGTCTAAGCAAGATTAGTATCCAATAGATATGAATCTATTAGTGGGACATAACTGGAGTTAAGTATCCTAGCCCAAGTAATGTTAGAAGAGTTTCCATGTGGGAATAGCCTAGTGTGGAAAGTCTGGGTCCTCACAGTGAACATCCTTGCAGAAGGCATGCTGGCTGTCAGATCCTAAAAAAAATAGGGAGGCCCTTCCTAAGGAGAAGTGTTAGGCATCGGGTGTTAGAGGCTAAGGGATAGGATGTCAGAGGAAAGCAGTGTCTGTTTGTGTTGGAGGATAGTGGGGAGAAGCACTAGAATTGAGATGTAAAAGAGTGCATGGGAAGAGAAGGGCATTGGCAACAGCTGTAACAGAGAAGACCCTTAGGAGATTTTAGCTCTGTCAGGCAAGGGATGAGTTTTCAAGTAGAAGGAATTGTCAGCAGTCATCTGGTGTAGTGAAGTCAAGTAGAATGAGGACTGAATTTGTAAGTTTGTGAGGTGGATATATATATATATATATATATATTATATATATATATATATATATTTTTTTTTTTTTTTGGCGGTCGTGGTGCTTGAACTCTGGGCTTGGGCGCTGTCCCTGCGCTCTTCAGCTCAAGGCAAGCGCTCTACCACTTGAGCCACAGCTCCACTTCCGGTTTTCTAGTGGTTTATTGGAGATAAGAGTCTCACTTTCCTGCCCAGGCTGGCTTGGAACCATGATCCTCAGATCTCAGCCTCCTGAGTAGCTAGGATTACAGGCGTGAGCCACCAGCACCCTGTGGGGTAGATTTGAGCAGTTTAAGTTGCCAGTAACAAAAATAGTGAACAGAATTATAAAAGGAAGAGATGAGGAGTATAGCCTACTCCAGAAAGATTGAGTTGAGGGAAGGAAAAAGGCTTTCTTAAAGTAGAGATGGAGAGGGTAGGATATTTTTAGGATGGAAATGACTAGATCGTTTGTGTGCTTAGAATTCAATAGGAGAAATTGAAGATGAGAGTAAAGAGATAATTGGCACATCAGAATTATAGAAGATGGGCAAGAGAAAGATTATATATTCCTAATTGTAATGCCAATCTTTATTGATGGAACCCTTAGCTTTTTTAAGATTTTGCTATTATAAACAATGCTGTAATGAACAACCAACTAAGGCCTAGAAAACAAGATAAAAATTACATGGATGGCACATATATATATATGTATGTATAATAGATGTGTATATGCATGTATATATGTATTATATGTGTGTGTACATACATATATGTATATATACACACATGTTATACATACTCCAGAAAAGTATTATTTCCTTTAAAGAGTATGCTGGGATGTTGATTGTTAGTATAATGTGACTTTTAGAGCGAGAACAACAATTTTAACTAAAAGGTAATTGGATTGTATCTACTTGTGTAAATTTTAAAGTTCTCTTAAAACCATGTGACTTGAAATACTTGAGCAGAACTGCTGTGAGTAGCTCTTGTTAACAGAGTTTGGTATGGGAAAGCAATGGTCAGTGTGTCTGCATTCTTCAGGGGATGTGCTTAGCATACAGAACAGGAGACTCTGAACAGAGCCAGCATTATTGTTGAAAAGAATTTTCCATCCTCCTCCATGTGTGCTTAAGTTCTGAAATGGTTTCTGTTTTTTTGTTTTTGTTTTTTTTTTTTTACTTTTTACAAGCTTGATTCTCTATACTAACTCAACTGTTTCCTGCTACTGTTTTGTTAAAAAGTTCTATTATGAAGTTTATGTGTAATTTTTAAAATTTCAAATAAAGGTTTAAAAAACTTTTAAAATAATTTTAGACTTCAGGATAGTTGTAAAAATAGCATAGTTCCCATAAACCTTTTTCCAGCTTCTCTGAATGCTAACATAAAATTATTTTCAAAAATAAGAAAATGGGGCTGGGAAGGTGGCTCAGTGGTAGAGTGCTTGCCTTGCAAGCTGGAGGCCCTGGGTTCGATTCCTCAGCACCACATAAGCAAAAAGAGAAAAGCCGGAAGTGGCGCTGTGGCTTGAGTGGTAGAGTGCTAGCCTTGAGCTGAAGAGCTGAGGGACAGCGCCCAGGCCCAGAGTTCAAGCCCCACGACCGGACCCAAAAAAAAAAAAAAAAAAATTAAGAAAATGGTAGTTAATAATGCTATTAGCTAAACTACAGACTTAACGTTTGAGTTTCCCCAGTTTTTCTGTTAATATCCAGATTCAGTACTATATAACAGCTCAGATCAGTGTTTAGTCATTATATCTCTTTAGTCTCTTGCTGTGTGTCAAGTCTCTTTTTCCTCATCTTCAGTGATCTTTAAATGTAGAATACTAGTTATTTTGTCAAATGTCTCTCCATTTGGGCTTCTCTTATGATTTTTCATGCTGTACAATTTTTTTGTTAAGAATACAACTGAAGCATTATTATTATTTCTTTATTTTTCAAAATAAAGAGAGCATAATATGTGGTTTAATATGTAGTATAGCTGGCTTTAACCTTACTGTATAGTCCTGGCTGGTATTAAACTTGCCCCCTTTTTCCTCAGCCTCTGAGTATAGGGATTACAAACATTTACTACATGCCTAGTGTATTATGCCTTCTTTAATGTGTCATATCAGGAGATAAAATACTATTCTATCACTATATCATAATGGTATTTACTTTGGTTTCTTTGTTCACCTGATATGTTATATGCCACTGTAATATGACTGTTCATTTCCCCCTCCCCCATGGTACCTGGGGTAGAACCTGAGGCTTTACATATCTAGGCAGGGGGTCTTCCACATAGCTACATCCCTGGTCTACCACTCCTTTTTTTGGGGGGGGAGGGGGGTCCGGTCGTGGGGCCTGAAATCTGGGCCTGGGCGCTGTCCCTAAGCTCTTCAGCTCAAGGCTATCGCTCTACCATTTGAGCCACAGCGCCACTTCCGGCTTTTTTCTTATGTGGTGCTGAGGAATCAAACCCAGGGCCTCAGGCTTGCAAGGCAAGTGCTCTACCACAGAGCCACCTTCCCAGCCCTCTACCACTCCTTTTTGAGATTGTGTCTCACTATGTAGCCCAAACTGGCTTTTCCAAGTACTTTGATTACAGGTGTATGTCACCATGCCCAGTTTATTTTTCCTTTTATATTTAAAAAAAAAAGCCTTGGTGAATGTGCTTTGAGACTATAAACACCTTGCTTCTTTTTAAATTTTCAGCCACTGGTAAAAGCATCCATTTAGTGGACTTTGACCACAACAGTTATAAGTAAATATTGCTCATGATTATTTTCTGTATTCTCTAGGCTTCTATATTTATTAGTTGGAATTAAAAAATAACTATCCTCTTTCTGCCCTCCCACTCTTCCAATTTGGACTCACTGCATATGTAGACTACCCAGTGCTATTATTTCTTTAATTTCTCAAATTATTCCACCTATGGACATTACAAGCTCTTTTACTGTACTCTTTGGATGTACCCATCCCCCCCTTCCCCCAGTTGTGGGGCCTGAACTCTGGCCTGGGCGCTGCCCCTCAACTCTTTAGCTCAAGGCTAGCACTCTACCACTTGAGCCATAGCATCACTTCTGGCTTTTTCTACTTGTGTGGTACTGAGGAATCGAACCCAGGACTTCATGCATGCAAGGCAAGTACTCTACCACTGAGCCACCTTCCCAGCCCCCACCTCATCCTTTTTTAAAAAAAAAAAATACTATTATTTTTGTTTATGTGGCTCTGAGGAATTGAACCCCAAGCTTCAAGCACGCTAGATAATCATTCTACCACTAAGCCACCCTCCCAGCCCTCACCTCATCCTTTTTAAAGTACTTCTTTCCTTCCTGACACCATAAGGTGCCTCAGCCCTGAAAAATCAACTTCCTCTCCAAGGATCACTGGTTCCTTTTATTGAAGAGTAGCAATTGGAACCTAGGTCTAGGACATAGATTGTGCTTTTTTTTCTTAGAAAGTGGGTGCTTCTAGAGGCTCTCTTTGCCTTGATGCTTACATTGAAGTCTTGTGTAGTACCTCCTTTTAGATCTTGGTATAGTATTTATCAGAGGGTAAAATAAAAGAATTTGACAAAGCAAGCAGCTATATTTTAGCCTTTCAAAAATATTTTGATGAGAAGCCTTGTGCTAGCACTCTACCACTTGAGCCATAGCATCACTTCTGGCTTTTTCTGCTTGTGTGGTACTGAGGAATCGAACCCAGGGCCTCATGCATGTGAGGCAAGCACTCTACCACTGAGCTACCTTCCCAGCCCCAAATCTATGAGACTCTTATCTCCAGTAAACCACCAGAAAACCAGAAATGGCACTGTGTCTCAAATGGTAGAGTTCTCACCTTGAGCTGAAGAGCTGAGGGACAGCGCCCAAACCCAGAGTTCAAGCCCCACAACCGATTTAAAAAAAAAAAAAAAAAAAAAAATATATATATATATATATATATATATATATATTTGTTTGTTTTGATGAATTTTTAAACCAGGAATATTTGAAATTTGAGGCTGTATTGTGTTGAAGAGAAACACAGGGAGGGAAAATGTGGATAAAAATAATTATAAAAAATTGAAAAAGATTTGAATTTTGTTTTTACCTTACAGTCTCAGAAATGATGTGAGGAGAAAGGAAGGTGTAGTAAATGTTTGCCAGTATACTGGAATATTTAGTGTGTTAAGTACAAAATGTGACTGGTATAAATTTCAGGAAGATTTTCAAAGAGTTGTGAAAATAGAAAAATGTGTTGATGAGCTGCTTACCAAAAAATACAAGGTAGGACCCTGACCCAATGATGGTGTCTCATATAGAACATTACTTCAAAATACCATAGAGTCTTAGAGGAGGTGATGTTAAGACAACAAAACAAGCCAAACCCTAAAGCCCTCATTTTAAATATAGTAGATAATAGGTAAATTTTATATCATGAGAAGTAGTATAAGCCAAAGATAAAAATATGTTAATACCTAGTAAATACATACTTTTTTCTCTCTTTTGTAATCTTTCCTTCTTACCCAGGTCAGCCATAGTCCTGAAGCTCTGAAGACAGTAGAACAGGAGGTGAGAATAATGTTTCAAAACATTTTACAGATAGTTAACAAAAGAGATTAACTATTGGTTATTTCCTTAAACTGCCATTCTCCCAATATCACATGATCAGTTTCAGAGATTATTGATGTTATTCTCTGAAGTATAAAAGAAAAATAAGTTACAATGGTTGCCATTAATTTACTATAAATTGTACATTATTCTTCCAAGAGTAAGCATTTGAAATAAAGGAGGGAAAAATAAATACATACTGAGGAAATTAATTGATCAAACTCTAGGTAAGGGAACTAGTATGCAGGATTGAGATTTAAGTGGTGGAGCACCTGCCTACCAAGAATGAGTTCCTGAGTTCAAAGTACGCAAGGTGTGTTTTGTACCAATACCTTCCTTAGGGCAAATGTACACAGGGAAACTCTCATTCTATTCCATTATATTTATGTACCATTTTGTTTGCCTGTTCATCTGTTGATGAATATTTAAATTGTGTCTATTTCATGACTATTGTGAACAAAGCTGAGACCCTATTTTCACTTCTTTTAGATGTATGCTCAGAGGTGGAATTGTGATAGGATATTTCTATTCTTTGTTTGTTTGTTTGTTTGTTTAGTTAGTTAGTTTGGAGGAGCCTCCATACTATTTTTCAGAGCAATAGCATCATTTTACAATCCTACTAACAACAATGGGCAAGGCTTCAGATTTCCTAACATCCTAATTGACATGGTTACTGGGATTTTGTTTTTTATAGTTGGCCATCCTAATAGCGGTGAGAAGCTATCTCATTGTGGTTTTTATTTCTCTAATAATTAATGGTGGGTTAAGAATACTTTTCAGGAAGTGGTGCTATGTGGCTCAAAGTGGTAGAGTTCTAGTCCCAAGCAAAAGAACTCAGGCACTGTCCCTGAGCTCAAACCCCATGACTGACACATATGCTCATTGACCATTAGTACATTATCTTTTTTTTTTTTTTTTTTTTTTTTGGGTCGGTAGTGGGGCTTGAACTCTGGGCCTGGGCGCTGTCCCTCAGCTCTTCAGCTCAAGGGGAGTGCTTCACCACTTGAGCCACAGTGCCACTTCCAGTTTTCTAGTGGTTTATTGGAGATAAGAGTCTCACGGACTTTCCTGCCTGGGCTGGCTTTGAACTGTGATCCTCAGATCTCAGCCTCCTTAGTAGCTAGGATTACAGGTGTGAGCCACCAGAGCCCAGCTTTGTACATTATCTTTGAATCACTTTTTTTTTGTCCTACTGGGGTTTGAACTCAAAACTTCACATTTGCTAGACAGGTGCTACTCAGCCATACTTTCAGCCTTTTTTATACTTTCTTGTTTTTTTATTTTTCAATGCTGGTTATTTTATTTGTTGATTGATTGATTGATTGTTGCTTGTGGGGCTTGAACTCTGGGCCTAGGCATTGTCCCTGAGCTCTTCAGCTCAAGGCCAGTGCTCTACCACTCGAGCCACAATGCCACTTCTGGTTTTCTGAATGGTTTGTTGGAGATAAGAATCTCACAGACTTTCTTGCCAAGGCTGGCTTTGAACCACAATCCTGATATCTCAGCCTCCTGAGTAGCTAGGATTATAGGCATGAGCCATCAGTGCCCAAATGCTGATTATTTTTGAGATAGGATCTCACTTCCTGCCTGGGTGAATGCCTGAGCCACAATCCACCTATTTTAGGTATCCAACAACATGCCCAGCTTCTCCATTGAGGTAGAGTCTCTCAGCTTTTCTACCAGGACAGTTTTGGAAGCTCGGTCCTACCACTGTCAGTATTCCAAGTAGCTAGGATGACAGGTGTGTGCCACAGTACCCTACAGTATGTTGAGAAGGGGTTTTGTTTTGTTTTGTCTTGTCTTGCCTTGCCAGATATCCCAGGTGGGCTTAGAACTTGCATTCTTCCTGCCTCGGCTTCCTAAATGCTGGGATTGCAAGCATGAGCCACCATGTGTGGTTAAAAAGGCTTTTTTTGTTGTGCTGGTACTGGAACTTGAACTCAGTGCCTTCAGCTCTTTTTTTTTCCTTTTCCCTCAGTTCTGGGGCTGAACTCAGGGCTTGGGCACTGTCCCTGAGCTGCTTTTGCTCAAGACTAGCAAGCACTCTACCACTTGAGCTACGGCGCCACTTCTGGCATTTTCTGTTTATGTGGTGCTAAGGAATCGAATCTAGGGCTTCATGCATGCTAGGCAAGCACTTTACTACTGAGCCATATTCCAAGCCACCTCCAGCTCTTACTTGGCTTTTTCACTCATGACTGGCAGTACCACTTAAGCCACACCTCCACTTCCAGCTTTTTGCTGGTTAATAAAAGATAAGAGTCTCTGATTCTCTTCCTGTGCTGACTGCTAAACAAGATCTTTAGATCTCCGCCTCCTCAGCTAGGATTACAAGGCATGAGCCACCTGCTTTGGGCCGAAGAAGATATCTTAATAACATCAGCAAATAGAATTTGATAAGCAAACAAATAATGTGATGAGCAATTATGTAAAGAAATATAAAAGGCACTTGGGTCTTTCTGCAGTGTCAGAACTTTTTTTTTTTTTTGGAGGGGGGGTCCGGTCGTGGGGCCTGAACTCTGGGCCTGGGCACTGTCCCTCAGCTCTTCAGCTCAAGGCTAGCTCTCTACCACTTGAGCCATAGCGCCACTTCCGGCTTTTTTCTTTTTGCTTATGTGGTGCTGAGGAATTGAACCCAGGGCCTCGGGCATGCAAGGCAAGAGCTCTACCGCTGAGCCACCTTCCCAGCCCCAGTGTCAGAACTTCTTGAATAGCAATTCACAAACTATATCCAGTGCTACTGTTGTTGCTTGATAGCTGTGAGCCTGTTGGCAAACAAGGTTTTTACTCCAATAGTAATTATTGATATTAATTCTCAGATCACACATTGTACTTCATAGTAAGAATAGAATTTATAGTATTATTAAGAAATCATTAGGGCTGGGAAGGTGGCTCAGTGGTAGAGTGCTTGCCTTGCATGCATGAGGCCCTGGGTTCGATTCCTCAGCACCACATAAGTAGAAAAAGCCAGAAGTAGTGCTGTGGCTCAAGTGGTAGAGGGCTAACCTTGAGCTGAAGAGCTGAGGGACAGTGCCCAGGCCCAGAGTTTAGGCCCACAACTGACAAAAAAAAAACAAAAAAAACAAAAAAGAAATGGTTAACATGTTAAGAGTATACCCCACCACAAGAAGCCTGATTGATAGTAAGGGCAGAGATCTGATACAGAATCAACAAGAATCACTGTAAGTGTTAGATAAGATATTAACATCATGAACCTAGTGGAATCAAAACTCAGTGTTGGTTCAAAGCATTGAACTGCTTCTAAGCGTCTAACCTTATTGGCAGTTCCAGTGGGTCTGGGTCAGGCATCAAGCAGGGGGATCCAGCAGAAGCCTTAGGAATGGGATTTAAAGTTTGGAGTTCAGAGTTCAGGAACCAGATTAGTCTGATGACAGATTAGTGTCTGCCAATCTTGTGTTAGGTAAACTTCCTTTTATACAGTCCAGGTGAGGGCTTTGTATTATTCCTGCATCTGGTATGTTGGATAAGGTCATGAGATTGGTTTTTCTGCTGCAGGTGTGATGTGCTTGCAAATCCATGATTTTCTGTTTTAGTTTGAAGTACATAGGTGGCAAACTTTCATTTGCATAAATAAATTACGTGTCAGTCTGTTCCATGGTTTGTGCTAGACTGATAGTTGTAGAGTCATTCTGTCTGGGCATTTTCACTCAAAATGGAGCAAAAGTGCTTATTTATAAGATGAGGTTGCTCAGGGCAAAGCCTAGCCTAAAAACAATTGTTCTATGTCATATAGAATAACTTTGGAATAGGACGCAGCCTAACATGGCATTTCTGTCAAGATTATTCACCAAAACAGCACAATCAGGCAGATGACCTGGAAGTAGGAATTTACAGTATTACAGTAGATGGGCAGGGCACCAGTGGCTCACGCCTAGCTACTCAGGAGGCTGATATCTGAGGATGGTGGTTCAAAGCCAACACGGGTAGGAAAGTCTGCAAGACTCTTACCTCCAATTAAGCACCAAAAAAGCTGAAAGTGAAGCTGTGTTTCAGGTGGCAGAGCACTAGGCTTGAGCAAAAGAAGCTCAGGGACAGCACAAAGGCCCTGAGCTCAAGCCCCAGGACCAGCACAAAAAGAAAACCAGGTAGAAGGTAGAATAATGGCATACTACTCCTCAGAAATGTTGTGTCCTGTTAAGTTTCCCCCATTTTTTATATATTGCCTTATGAACTTCTTGCTGACCAAAACTAGTTTATAGTTTTTATTCCTCTTCAGCTCGCTTGCTATATCTATTTCTGTGGTCTAGTTGTCAGAAGTACAGCCTACACAGTGAGCTATTTTGAAGAGTAAAATGTTTTTATATGGCAAAAGTATAATAGGAAAGTAAGTTACAGAAAAATAAATTTCATGTTATTTGGATGTCTAGAGCAAACCTAAAACATCATTTTCTTACAAGTAGATTTTAATTTATTACTTCCTATTGAAACCTTAGAATATTGAGACATCATAGTCCCTTTTTCTTTCTCCTGGATCTTTGATTTTCTGGTCTACAAATGAATGTGGGAAAATGGGCTTTTGCCAAACTGGTTATGTAAGATATTTTTAGGTGAAAATAACCACTTTGGTATATGGGTCATATACTTCAATGGCATAATTATTTCCTCATTATAGACACATTTGATATTCTATAGGACTTTGAAATCCTTTGTCTTAATTGGTTTACAAGCTTTTGATATGTGTTACATTCTAACGAGTATAAGAGTGAGAATTCATGTGTATGATAACATAAATATGAATTAGCCAGACTGATAAATCAATCAAAATAATACCCCTTTTATTTTTTTTAGCTCTGATCACTGTAGGCCTCTTTGGTTCCAGAACCATTACTGTCAATTTTTCTGACTCAATTTCCAACAAACTAATTTTAGCAATTCAGTATTTTGTCATACTTACATATTAAGCGCTACTCCCCAGTTCAAGGAAATACAGTTTGGTTTTTTGAGAGGGGAGGAGGTAATGAGGAGTTGACTATTTATTTGGAAATAATCTAGATTTGTGACCTATATAAATAACTAGCTGTATAGTTCATTTAACTTTATTAGCATATGGTTAGTATTGCACTTCAGATGACAGATGATCAAAGCTGTCTTAAACATGATTCAGTAATGTGTAGGTAGTCCCAATTCACAAAAGGTTTGAAGATTTACATAAAACTTCATCTCAAATTGAAAGATAACTTCTTTTCATTATATCCATTCACAGTTGTTTAGAACTTGTGTACTTTTTGTTGTTGGTGGTGGTTGTGGGTCTTGAACTCTTGGCCTGGATGCTGTCCCTGAGCTCTTCAGCTCAAGGCTAGCGCTTTACCACTTGAGCCATTGCACCACTTCCAGTTTTCTGGTGGTTAATTGGAGATAAGAGTCTCATGGGGACTAGAAATGTGGCTTAGTGGTAGAGTGCTTGCCTAGCATGCATGAAGCCCCAGGTTCGATTCCTCAGTACCACATACATAGAAAAAGCTGTAAGTGGCGTTGTGACTTAAGTGGTAGAGCACTAGCCTTGAGCTGAAGAGCTCACGTACAGCATCCAGGCCCAGAGTTCAAGACCCACAACCGACAAACAAAAAAGAGTCTCATGGACTTTCCTGCATGGGCTGGCTTAGAACTGCAATCCTTAGATCTCAGCCTCCTGAGTAGCTAGAATTACAGGCATGAGCCACCAGCACCTCATTTGGATAAGCCGGCGCTGGTGGCTCACACCTGTAATCCTAGCTACTCAGGAGGCTGAAATCTGAGTATTGCTGGCTTAGAACTGCAATCCTTAGATCTCAGCCTCCTGAGTAGCTAGAATTACAGGCATGAGCCACCAGCACCTCATTTGGATAAGCCGGCGCTGGTGGCTCACACCTGTAATCCTAGCTACTCAGGAGGCTGAAATCTGAGTATTGCAGTTCAAAAGCCAGCCCGAGCAGAAAGTCCATGAGACTCTTTTCTGAGTCTCTGAGTCACTTTGAGTCATTGAGTTCAAGCCCCATGACTGACAAAAAAAAAAAAAGAGAAAGAAATAGGATAAATAGAAATGAATGATTAGGGTTCCTATTGAAGGAATAAAGAACTTTTCAAATTTTTATGACAAATGTAAAAATTTATAACCTATTTATTAAATATAATTTAACTGTGATATATACAATTATTTAAGTTATTAAAATGGCAAAGACAAAATGTGATATAGTGAATATTTTAAATACTATATGTGAAATTCATTGCTATGCTATTGTGTAGAATAATTTATAAAAATTATATTAAGTAGGTGTAAGCTACCTAAGGTCTTTATTATTTAATAGTAAACTTTATTTTTTCTTGAAGTCAGGGCTTTTTGCTTGCTAGGCAGGCACTCTATACATTGAAATACGATTCCAGCTCTTTTTGCTCTGTTTACTTTTAAGATAGGGTCTCACTTTTTTACCTTGATCTTCCTGCCATAGTTAAGATGACAGGTACATAGCACCATGCCTAGCTTTTACTGATGAAATGAGGATTCACAAACTTTTTTGTCAGGGTTGGCCTGTAATTATGATCCTCCATACCTCAGTATGCTGTGCAGTTTGATGACAGCAGCTTGCCAATACACCAGCTACTGGTTGAGCTTATTGCCTAGTTTGGCCTCAAACCATAATCCTTCTGACCTCTGCCACTTGAATAGCTAGAATAACAAGTGTGAACCATGCTATGTTGCTGTCCAGTTTGGCCTTAATCACCTGGGTTCAGGTGAATCTCCTGCCTTGGCCTTGCAAGTAGCTGGGACTACAGTTGTATATACTGTACTGGGTTTGGTAGTAAACTTTATGTGAGGTTCCCTTTTTTGTAGATTTCCACAATTTGCTCTTAAGGTTCTATCTCATTTTGGATAGTTTTTAAAGATCACTTTGTAGTCATAACCCTCCTTGAAAAATTTGGTAAAAACAGTGGATTCCTTTCCAGAAAAATACCAATTTTGTGTAGTTTTTATCTGTGATGAATCTCTTGAACGTTAACCTTGAATAATAGCTACTCCCTGAACTGCTTATTATAATGCTTACCTAATCTCACTTTCTAAAGTTGGTGTTTTAAGTTAGGGTTGACTTAGAATTTTCTTTTTCTTTTGCCAGTCCTGGGGCTTGAACTCAGGGCCTGGGCACTGTCCCTGAGCTTATTTAGCTCAAGGCTAGCACTCTACCACTTGAGTCACAGGGCCACTTCTGTCTTTTTCTGTGTATGTGGTGCTGAGGAATCGAATCCAGGCTTTATACATGCTAGGCAAGCGCTCTACCACTGAGCCACCTTCCCAGCCCCTTCCCTCCTTTTTTTTTTAAAATTTTTTACAAACACTTTAAATGATAAGATATAAAATGTTTTAAAACTGCAGAACTTTAGTGGGATGAAGAATCGGGTTATTCCACTGTTATTTTAGAGCATGTTCTAACTGCTGTATAATAGCTGTAATACTTTACAGTCATTTGATATCTGTGACGTGTTACAGCTTCCATTATAAACTGTTATTGACATTAATGTGTAATTTTATGGCTAAAACTTCCAATGTATTATTTTCAAATTTTCTATTTATAATCCTCATTTGTTTGGGAAATGCATGATTTAATGACATATTTCCAAATCAGTGACTCTTTATTGACTTGGTTAAAAAAAACAGAACTTTCTTTGGGCAGGTTCATTTCTCTTACTCATTTTTAAAGTGTTTTAGAGTAAATCATTTAGTTAAAACTTTCTTCTTAATTACTTTTATTTGTAGGATGAACTTTCTGATGTTAGCCAAGGTGGATCTAAAGCCACCACACCAGCATCAATAACCAATTCAGATGTGTCAGCAATCCCCCCTGACACTCCATTAAAAGAAGATAATGAAGGACTTGTAAAGGGCACAGATACACTAAATAAATCAGATGTAAGCAAGCACATTGAAGTACAAGTAGCCCAAGAAACTAGGAATGTATCTACAGGTAAGTGACCCTGGTTTTTTATTTATTAGGAAAGTACCCAGTAAAAACATGATATGTACTTTAGATGTATAAATAAGAGGCCACTTACTTGTGCTTAGTTGTAAATACGCTTAAAAGAAGTAATGGTAGGGGCTGGGAAGATGGCTCAGTGGTAGAGCGCTTGCCTTGCATGCCTGAGGCCCTGGGTTCGATTCCTCAGCACCACATAAGCAAAAAGAAAAAAGCCAGAAGTGGCGCTGTGGCTCAAGTGGTAGAGCGCTAGCCTTGAGCTGAAGAGCTGAGGGACAGTGCCCAGGCCCAGAGTTCAGGCCCCACGACCGGACCCAAAAAAAAAAAAAGTAATGGTTACATCTAGTTTTTGGAGAGAAAAAATGCTGAGTTCTGGGGAGTTAAGAGATCCTAAGTGGTAGAAAGGAAAATCCTTTCTTGTCCTCTACCATAGTAGGATAGTCTTGCATATTCCACCTTCTTAGTTTTGTCTGCCTGCTTAAGACAGTGTCTCACTGTTATCTAGACTCGCTTTAAATTCCTGGACTATTACTTCTAACTCAGCCTCCCAAGTAGCTGGGCTATAAAAATTTGTGTGTGACCATGTCTAGCATCTTCCTTTAAATCGAATGAAAGCAGTGTCTTGGACACATTGTATTGCTTTTGTTTTTGGTTCCTAGTCTCTGTGTTTAACCATTATAACTGTACGTTGTCATTGTCTTTTACATTTTAAAACTACTCAGTTGACATATTTAAAACAACAAAGGCAGCAGGATTTTCGTAATAGGGTACTGTGTTATAAATGTATTGTTTGTTTCATCATATTCTATTTTAGGCTCTGCTGAAAATGAAGAGAAATCAGAAGTTCAAGCAATCATTGAATCCACTCCTGAATTGGATATGGACAAAGATCTCAGTGGATATAAAGGTTCAAGGTACAGAAAATACAAGATTAAGACATTTTGTCTTTTCTTTTCTATACTCTAGTGATAGCTAGTCTTTGACCAACAATATCAGTTCTTTCAAGATTTTATGTGTGTGTGTGTACATGTGCACATGCGTGTGTGCTGACGCTTGAACTCAGGACCTAGACATTGTCCCTGAGCTTTATTGCTCAAGACTAGAGCTCTATCACTTCTGGCTTTTAAAGCTCCACTTCTGGCTTTTTTGTTTTTTAATCAGTCATGGGGCTTGAACTCAGGGCATAGGCACTGTTCCTGAGCTCTTTAACTCAAGGCTAGTTCTCTACCACTTTGAGCCACAACTCCACTTGGAGTTTTCTGGTGGTTATTTGGCGATAAGAATCTCACACAAACTTTCCTGGCCAGGCTGGCTTTGAACTGTGATCCTTGAATCTCAGTCTCCTGAGTAGTTAGGATTACAGGCATGAGCCACTGTACCTGGCAACAAGATCAGTCATTATATCTTATTGAAAAAATGTTGGTATTATAATTCCTTTCTTTTTCTCTCTCTTTTTTTTTTTTTCAAGAGTTGAGGGGATGGTAACTGGGATTTGAACTTCAGGGCCTCATACTAGCTAGGCAGGTGCTCTACTACTGAGCCATACTTCCATCCCCTATCCTTCCAATTTCTGTACATTGTTCATAGTTTGAGTTTTGGGGGAGATTACCCTTGCAGCAATTGGGAAGATATGGAAAGATGGTATCTTGTTTATATTGCTACAACAATACCTGAGACAGGATTATTTATTTATTTTTATTTTTATTTTTTTGGTCCCGTTGTGGGGCCTGAACTCTGGGCCTGGGCGTTGTTCCTCAGCTCTTCAGCTCAAGGCTAGCACTCTACCACTTGAGCCACAGCACCACTTCCGGCTTTTTTCTTTTTGCTTATGTGGTGCTGAGGAATCGAACCCAGGGCCTCATGCGTGCAAGGCAAGCACTCTACCACTGAGCCACCTACCCAGCCCCGACAGGATTATTTATGAATAACAGATTTATTTCCTCAGTGTTGTGGAGGCTAGAAAGTTAAGAATCAAGGCTCTGGTTGGTTTGGTTGTCTAATGATAGCTCTTCTTTGTTTCCAAAAAGCAAAGGCAAAAGGACAAGACAGTAGTGCTGTATGAAATTTTCTTCCTTCTTCCCTTCCCTTCTCTCTTTCCCTCTTTTCCTCTTTGCCAGTTTCTTTTCCTTTTCCTTCCCCCCTCCCTCCCTCCCTCCCTCTCTTCCTTCTTCCCTCCCTCCCTCTCTCCCTCCTTCCTTCCCTTCCTCCCTTCCTCCCTTCCTCCCTCCCTCTCCCTCCCTCCCTTCCTTCCTTCCTTCCTTCCTTCCTTTCTTTCTTTCTTTCTTTCTTTCTTTCTTTCTTTCTTTCTTTCTTTCTTTCTTTCTTTCTTTCTTTCTTTCTTTCTTTCTTTCTTTCTTTCTTTCTTTCTTTCTTTCTCTCTCCTTCTCTCTCTCTTTCTTTCTTTCTTTCTCTCTCTCTCTCTCTCTCCTTCCTTCCTTGCTTCCTTGCTTCCTTCCTTCCTTTCTTTCTTTCCTTCTTTCTTTCTTTCTTTCTTTCTTTCTTTCTTTCTTTCTTTCTTTCTTTCTTTCTTTCTTTCTTTCTTTCTTTCTTTCTTTCTTTCTTTCTTTCTTTCTTTCTTTCTTTCTTTCTTTCTTCTTTCACTTGAACTCATGGCCTAGGCACTATCTGTGAGCACTTTTGCTCAAAGCCAGCACTGTACCACTTTGAGTCACAGCTCTTCCAGTTTCCTGGTGGTTAATTGGAGACAAGTCTCATGTACTTTTCTGCCCCAATAGCTTTGAGCTGCAATCCTCAGATCTCAGCTTCCTTAGTACTAGGATTATAGTCATAAGCTATGGTGCCCAGCCTAAAGTTTCTTTTATAATGGTCTTCATCCTATACTAATGAGAAGCCCTCTTAATGATGTCATATTAGCAGCACCTAATTTTGAAGGAGATTTGTTCAAAACATAGCAAATGAAGGAAAAGATGCCTAAGAGTAATTTGAGGAAACAAGAGTGAGGGAAAAAACAATTTGAGAAAACTTTGTTCCTTCCCCCAGATAGGGAAAGAATGTAATTTTTTTTTTCCTTCAGAACTGTAAGAATCTATTCTAGGGCTGGGAAGGTGGCTCAGTGGTAGAGTGCTTGCCTTGCATGCATGAGGCCCTGGGGTGGATTCCTCAGCACCACATAAGCAGATAAAGCTAGAAGTGGTGCTGTGGCTCAAGTGGTAGAGTGCTATCCTTGAGCTTAAGAGCTGAGGGACAGCACCCAGGCCCAGAGTTCAGGCCCCATGACCGGGGGGGGGGGGGGGGGAGAATCTAATTATTCTAAGAAATGAACCTAATAATGGTGTCTCAAGCTTGTAATCTTAGCTACTTGGAAGGTGGAGACCACTGGGGGGGCATTGCGGTTCAATGGCCAAACATAAAATGTTGGAGATACTCCATCTCAACCAATGGCTGGCTGAGCCTGGTCATGCCCTCTTATTATCCCAGCTATGAAGGAAGTTCATTGCCTGGGCAGAGTTGTATATGCTTGCCATCCTAGTGGCACAGGGAAGCACAAGTAGGAGAATCACAGCTCCAGGCCAGGATGGGCATAAAGTGAGACACTGCCTTGAAAATAGCTACCACAGCCGGGCGCTGGTGGCTCACGCCTGTAATCCTAGCTACTCAGGAGGCTGAGATCTGAGGATCGCGGTTCAAAGCCAGCCCTGGCAGGAGAGACCGTGAGACTCCTATCTCCAATAAACCACCAGGAAACCGGAAGTGGCGCTGTAGCTCAAGTGGTAGAGCGCTCGCCTTGAGCTGAAGAGCTGAGGGACAGCACCCAGGCCCAGAGTTCAAGCCCCACGACCGACAAAAAAGAAAATAGCTACCACAAAAATGGGGAGTAGAGGTGTGCTCAAGTGGTAGAGTGCTGCTTAGCAACTATGAGTGCTTCTCCCCCCAAAATAGTTTTTAATATAGAAAGCAGGAGGAGAATAAATAGATACAATCTTAATTAGGGTTATCTGAAATTTGTTGATGTTCAAGAATGTCAGACAGGAGCTATTGAATATCTTCCATATATTAGATAATTACTACAAAACACCTGCCATGTATTAGTTTCTTCTTTTTCTTTCTTTCTTTTTTCTTTCTTTCTTTTTTTTTTTTGCTGGTCCTGGGCTTGAACTCAGCACCTGGATGCTGTCCCTGAGCTTAATATACCTAAATCATTTCACTCACTTCCTGCCTTAGTCATCTTTTTCGTTGATAATTGCCTTTTTTGTTGCTGTTAATGGTGGTGGTGGGGCTTGAACTCAGTTGGGCTCTGCCTCTGAGCTCTTTTGCTCAAGGCTAGCACTCTACCACTTTGAGCCATGACACCACTTCCATATAATTGACTTTGTGAAAGGGTTTTAATAGGACATTTTTGGGGTATAGTGTCCTTGGGCCAATTACTAGATATTGTCAAATTACCTTTTTTTAAAATTGAGATTAGGGGGCTGGGAAGGTGGCTCAGTGGTAGAGCGCATGCCTTGCATGCCTGAGGCCCTGGGTTCGATTCCTCAGCACCACATAAGAAAAAAGCCGGAAGTGGCGCTGTGGCTCAAATGGTAGAGCACTAGCCTTGAGCTGAAGAACTGAGGGACAGCGCCCAGGCCCAGAGTTCAGGCCCCATGACCAGACCAAAAAAAAAAAAAATCTTAAAATTGAGATTAGGTGATTACATAAATTTCATATATTTCATAAGATTGTGGAATAGTGATACTTAGTTAAAGTCACAAACACATTTTAACCTTCACAAGGCAAATTGTCATTATCATGGTCTATAAAGTTTATGACTTCTATGAGCTTTGATAATACAACTATTTCTTCCACATCAGGTGATATTTACATTTCTTCCCTTTTGCTTAGTGTAAGCTATTCCCTCTTACCCTCTCATTCCTTTCCTCCCATCGCTGCCTTTGAGTGGCTTCGTTCATTTTCATCAATGTCCAGTGCAGCTGATGGGCCCCTCTGTTGTATGTTTTCCCGTTTCCCTCTGATCTGTCAAATTATCTTTAAAGAAAAATTTTCAAGAGCCAATCTAATTTATTCCAGTCAGCATAAGCATTGTAGTTAAGGTCATGGATTCTGAAACTAAATTGCCTAGGTTTGAATCCTATTTATTTCATTCTTTTTGCTGGATGATCTTAGCAAATGTCTTAAGCTCTTTAGCTTCTTAGCTATAAAATTGGGGAAATAGTAACACCTGCTTTGTGGTGCATTTGTGAGGGTAAATTAATAAAGAATGTGACCAGGACTAGTGTCTGGTATGCTGTCAGATACCTGCCATTATTGTTTGTGTTTGCTGGGATTCTGAAGAAAAACATGCTATGATTAAGAAAGTTGTCTTTGCAGTTTCATGGGAATTTCTTAGGGAACCTTTAAGGAATCATCTTATTTTTTTTTGTTTTTGTTTTTTTGTTTTTTGGGTCCGGTCCTGGGGCCTGAACTCTGGGCCTGGGCCCTATCCCTCAGCTCTTCACCTCAAGGCTAGTGCTCTACCACTTGAGCCATAGCACCACTTCCGGCTTTTTTCTTTTTGCTTATGTGGTGCTGAGGAATCGAACCCAGGGCCTCAGGCATGCAAGGCAAACACTCTACCACTGAGCCACCTTTCCAGCCCCTGAGAAATCGTTTTAAATTGATACTTTATTCTAAGTGAAAACTGTAAGAAAGAAATAATGTTTCTTGGCCTGTTGTATCAAAAAATATGACCAAAAATGTCTAATTTGTTGTTTTTGTCTTGTCATTTTTGTTACACAGCACTCCCACCAAAGGCATAGAGAATAAAGCTTTTGATCGCAACACAGAGTCTCTATTTGAAGAACTGTCTTCAGCTGGCTCAGGTCTCATTGGAGATGTGGATGAAGGAGCAGATTTACTAGGTATGGCAGCCTGTCTGGAGAAGTGTTGTACTATTTTAAAAAGAAATTTCTTTCATGATTTCATTCAGAATGTTCCCATCTGCCTTTATTAGAAGAGTTATTGCCCCTTTAGGAAATTACTGAGATCCCAAAAGTTCTAAAATGAAAGCATCTTCACATGTGAATATGCCTATAAATACACTCAAATTAGTATTTTGAATTCATATAACACAATTTATGCAACTTCTGCTATATTCTGAGGATATATTTACACATATGGAACACAGTAGTGTGGGAAGGGGGAGGGAAGAGATGTAAGATTGATAGTTCCTAGCTTAAATAAATCTTACTGAATTCTATTCTATTGTTTCATTTTTACCTTTTACCTTTTATTATGTGTTGCTTAAGTTACATATAATCATTTTAAAGTTTGTGGAGGTATAGCTCAGAGGTACAGGTTCAATATTAGTTACCCCATACACACATCCCCTCAAAAAAGTTTTTATGGCTGGGAAGGTGGCTCAGTGGTAGAGTGCTTGCCTTGCATGCATGAGGCCCTGGGTTCGATTTCTCAGCAGCACATAAGCAGAAAAACCTGGAAGTGGCTCTGGCTCAAGTGGTAGAGCTAGTCTTGAGCTGAAGAGCTGAGGGACAGTGTCCAGGCCCAGAGTTCAGACCCCACGACCAACTCCCCCCCCCAAAAAATTGTTTTCATTGTCTAACACATAATTTGAAAAGAACACTGTATTTGACTTTTCCACTATAAATGTATCTGGTGATCTTTGCCGAATATTTTAGCCTTTCTGGCCTATAGTTTCTTTGTCACTGAACTAACTGGATTACGATTCAGGGTCCACCCAAACTGTGCCTTGCAAGCCAAATCCAGTGATCTCCTTTGTGTGGTAGTAAAGTTTAATTGAAAAGCACCCTCCCTTCCCATTTGTTTACATCCTATCTATGATTACTTTGATCCAACAACAGAGTTGAGTAGTTTATAGCAGAGACGATAAGGCCCAGTATTTGTCATCCTGCCCACTAAAAGCAAGCTTCCCAGTCCTGGCTCTAGGTAATCCTTAAGGTTCCTTTCATCAATAATTATATGATTTTGTCTCATATATTAATTAGATTTTCTTCTCTCTATCTTGAGATTTTTTTTGCAGTATTTAGATTTGAACTTAGGGCCTCACACTTGTTAGACAGGCCTTCTATTACTTGAGCCATGCCTTCAACCTTTTTTGCTTCGATTTCTTTTGAAGTAGATTCTTGCTTTTTGCTCTAGCTAGCCTGGAGCTCAGTCCTCCTATTTATACTTCCCACCACAGCTGTAGTGGCAGGTGCATACAGCTTTTATTGGTTGAAATTGGAGGTCTTACATACTTATTACCTGGGCTGGCTTCAAACCATGATCCTCCCAATTTTAGCCTCCTGAGTAGCATGAGCCACCAAGTCTTGCCATGTGCATTAGGTTTCACAAATTGTGTTTATTGGTTTGTTTTTTGTAGAAGTATTGGGGTTGAACTTGCTAAACTGGTGCCCTCCCTCTGGAAAGGGAGTCCTGCTTTTTGTGAATTATTTTGGAGACAGAGTCTCACAGATTTTTTTTGCCTCCATTCTCTGGATCCCAACATTCTGAGTAGCTGGTAGCATGAGCCACTATCACCTGACCTGAGTTACTTTTAATGTATCTTGCTTATAATTCAAGACCTTGTAAAGGGTTTGAGTCAAGGGTCAATGGTAGAGCACCTTTCAATCAAACTTGAGACCTTAGTTCAAATTCTGCGCTGGAAAAGAGGAGAAAAGAAAGAACTTGTAGAAACTAAAAATGAATTAGAAATGTTTGCTTTTGAGAGTTGAAGTCATGACCAAATAGAGCACTTGCTTAACATGTTTTAGGCCTTAGGTCAAACCCCAGTTAAACAACCCCACACACACTGGGGGGAAAAAAAGAAGAAATAATAGGTTATAAAAATATTTGTATTGGCTAGGAATGTGGCTCACCTAGCATGCATGAAGCCCTGGGTTCAATTCCTCAGTACCACATACACAGAAAAAGCCGGAAATGGTGCCGTGGCTCAAGTGGTAGAGCGTTAGCCTTGAGCAAAAGAACCTCAGGGACAGTGCCCAGGCCCTGAGTTCAAGCCCCAGGACTGGCAAAAATATGCATATATATGCATATATTTGTATTATTTTAACTATACTACACACTATACTGGTCTCAGAAGGTTCTATTTGTCCATCCTTGTGAATGTAGTATGGTATGATACTGTTTACATTAAGTTATGTTAAATGTATTGCTCACCAGATATGTCATTGGTATTGTGACTTTTCTTCTTTCTCCATAAATTCAGCAAGTTGTAGCATATGCCTGTAATCCCCACACTCAAGGCTAAGACAGGACAGGAGGATCATGAGCATAAGACTAGAAGGCCAGCCTGGGCTACATAGTAAGAGCCTACTTTAAATTTAAAGAAAAAAAGGAGCAACAAAATTCCCTACAAGTTTCTACTAAGAAAGATTTGAAAGTATGTACACTTATTACTAAATATAGAGATCCCTACTGTTTGGAAATATATAAAGAGAATGCTACTATTAAAATCTTAGTAAAACATTGGCAGAAATTGGGTAAATTGTATTTCTCAAGGAAGGCTCAGAAGATTAATTCTTGAGAAATATTCCATTTTTACATGCATATTTGCATCCTAGTCTTTGTTTACACATGAAAAATTCCTTTTAAGATTTTTTTTTTTTTTTGCACTGGTCATGGGCCCTGAACTCTAGGCCTGGGCACTGTCCCTCAGCTCTTCAGCTCAAGGCTAGCATTCTACCACTTGAGCCACAGCACCACTTCCAGCTTTTTCTGTTTATATGGTACTGAGGAATCGAACCCAGGGCCTCATGCATGCAAGGCAAGCACTCTACCACTGAGCCGCCTTCCCAGCCCCCTTTTGAGATTTGAATGACTTAAGAAAATGAGTCCCTGACAAAATTTAGGTACAGATGCAAAAATGTTAGGAAGAATTTTTTTTTTTTTTTTTTTGTCATTTGGTTTGAACTCTGGGCCTGCGCACTGTCTCTGAGCTCTTCAGCTCAAGGTAAGTGCTCTACCACTTGAGCCACAGTACCATTTCCAGTTTTCTGGTGGTTAATTGGAGATAGGAGTCTCACAGACTTTCCTGCCTAGGCTGGCTTTGAACTTCGATCCTCAGATCTCAGCCTCCTGAGTAGCAGAGATTACAGGTGTGAGCTACTGATGCCCTGCTAATTTGAATTATTTTTATTTTTATTTTTTATTTTTTTATTTTTGGGTCCAGTCGTGGGGCCTGAACTCTGGGCCTGGGCACTGTCCCTGTCCCTCAGCTTTCAGTTCAAGGCTAGTGCTCTACCACTTGAGCCACAGCGCCACTTCCGGCTTTTTTTCTTTTTGCTTATGTGGTGCTGGGGAATCGAACCCAGGGCCTCATGCATGCAAGGCAAGTGCTCTACCACTGAGCCACCTTCCCAGCCCCTAATTTGAAATTTTTTAATGAAAATTTTATATTCAAATTAAGATAGTAAAATTCACCTTTTTTTTTTCTGTATATACATTTTTGAGTTTTGACAAATGCATAGAGTTGTAACTCCCACCAGAATCAATATACTTTGCCTGCCAAAGTTTCCTTCATTATTATATCTTTTGAATATAATTTGTTACACTATTGCCCATTAGTAAGTGGTATAGTTTTTTATATTGGTGGTACAATACTCTTATTCCTGTAAAGAATTAAGCCTCTTAGCACTTTGAAGTAATTGTGATTAGACTGGGAAATTGTCTCAAGTGGTAGAAAGGCCCTGAATTCAATCCTTAATACCACCAAGAAAAGAGAAAGAATTGTCTTTTACTTAAATCAAAAGTCAGAAAATTAATAGTAACAGATTAAAATAAAAATCCTTAGGGGTTTTTTCCCCATGAAGATGAAAGACCATAAACTATTTTTTGCAGTGAAGATAATAGTTTATTATCTCTAGAATATTTCAGATTAGAATATTTTAATATGTTAAGGTTAATGACATGCAACCAAACAAATACTTTGGGTCATGTTTGTTCCTCGGCTCAGTGCAGTTCAGTGGTAACATTGAGGGGAATTCTCATTTGGATGTAATTAAACTAACAAAGATGTTCCCTAATATTCTTTAGTTGACCTTGGATTCACACGTAGGTACTACAGTGCAATTCTTTAATTCTTTTATCACTTCTCTAGATAATCTGTTACTATAAAATTCTTCTGTTGTTTTGGGACTAAATTAATATACTTATTTATTTTATTTTACTTATTTTTTGCCAGTCCTAGGGCTTGAACTCAGCGCCTAGGCGCTGTTCCTAAGCTTTCTTACTCATGACTTACATGCTACGACTTGAGCCACAGCTCCATTTGCAGCTTTTTGGTGTTTAACTGGAGCTGAGAGTCTCACAAATTTTCCTACTCAGGCTGGATTTGGACCGAGATCTTCAGATCTCAACCTCCTGAGAAGCTAGGATTATATTCATAAGCCTCTGGCACCTGGCTTAAATATATTTTAATCATTTATACATGGACTTAGTAGTTAGATTATTTCTGATTTTTATAGTTTAAAAGAGATAACTTCAAACAGTTTGACCTTTTATCTTGATTTATCACATCCCTTGACTTTCTTTTCTTTTTTTTTATTGTGAAAATACCATACAGAGGGGTTATAATTACATGGGCAAGATAATGAGTACATTTCTTATCAAGCATTGTTGCCTCCTCCTTTGTTTCCCCTTCCCATCCCTTCCCATCTCCTCTTCTTCCCCTTGACTTTATTTTCTGAGGGTCTTTTTTTTATTAACTCTAAAACACTTGTTCCATGGTTCCCCTCTAGAATCTGGAAGTCATATTGGGTCATATATTTAACTTCTGAAGCTTTATTTCTCATTACTTATTTTTAACTGCACTATCTTTACTAATTTCCTCCCATAACTTAAATTTATCCAGGACTTTTCTTTTTAAAAAATAAAAGTACTGGGCAGGGAAGGTGGCTCAGTGGTAGAGTGCTTGCCTTGCATGCATGAGGCCCTGGGTTCAATTCCTCAGCACCACATAAGCTAAAAGAAAAAAGTCAGAGGTGGCGCTGTGGCTCAAGTGGTAGAGCACTAGCCTTGAGCTGAATAGCTGAGGGACAGCGCCCAGGCCCAGAGTTCAGGCTCCACGACTGGACCCAAAAAAATAAAATAAAATAAAGTACTGTCTGTTACCTTGTAACTTTATTGCCTATCACCTGTTACTCATTATTCTCCCATGGTTATGCTTTTATGGCTACAACATTGATAAGATGTCTTCATTATTCTAGATATTGGCAATATACATCAGAAGATATGGGTAATTGTCAGGATTTCTCCAGTTCTACTTGGTCTTCATCTCAGTGCCATCTAGCATTCTCCATTGTACTCATTATGCCTGAAACAGCCTTCTTGTTTGGTGTAGCCATTGGTTCCTTCTCAATTATTATATGTGACCTCTCAAGAACAATTTTATTTTGAACCCTTCTGTATTGAGTTTCCTTGATAATCAGACTTGCCTACATCCTTTCCTGATTCTAACTGTTCGCCTTAATAGGATGAACTTCCTCTGTTCTGATAGAGTGGGTGTGTCCATGCACTGGTCCTGTGCCAGCACCCTACCAAATAGGTTAGCTAGAGTTTTTTGGTAGTTTGTCTTATGGCCTTGCCTGCTCTGGCTGGCTTGTGAACTGGGATCCTCAGATCCTCAGCTGCCTGAGTAGCTAGGATTACAGGTATAAGCCACCACCAGCACCTGATATTTCTTAGTTTTTATGTCAAATTAATTTTTATCTTTGTCTCAGATCTCTTGCTGCAACCCCAAACTATTAATTCTAAACTTCCTGCTAGATGCTTCTTCAATGACTTGTAGACTACATTTGATATGGGGCTTGAATTGTGGGCCTGGGGACTGTCCTTGAGCTCTTCATCTCAAGGCTAGCAGTCTACCTCTTGTGCCACAGCGCCACTTCCATTTTTCTGGTGGTAAATTGGAGATAAGAGTCTCATGGACTTTCCTGCCCTGGCTGGCTGGCTTTGAATGGTGATCCTCAGATCTCAGTCTTCTAAGTAGCTAGGATTACAGGTGTGAGCCACCAGTGCTCGGCTTCATCATCTTTTTTGACTGTCCTTTGAGACTTCCTTAGAATAACCAAACACCTCCCCATCACTCAGTCCTCTAGCTTAGATCTCCCATTCTTCTCTCAAAGCCAATCTCCAGCTGTTTTTACTCTCTGTATAAATGATATCATCTCCAAGGATTCCATTTCTGTCCTTAAGTAAAGCTGAATTGTCCCTGATTTGAATTCTCTTGTCACTCTTTGAATTTTACAATTTGCCATGTACTTTCCTCACTGCATTTACTATAGGTTCAATATGGCCCACACAGCTTTTTCTTGCTTGCATTTTTACCATACAGGACAACTAGATGAATGGGATTATGATCTATCTCACACTTTTGTGATAAAACTTTTTTTGTGTGTGCTGGTATTGGGGCTTGAACTCAGGGCCTGGGCACTGTCCCTGAGTTTTTGTGCTCAAGGCTAACACTCTCCCTCTTGAGTCACAGTTAAATGGAGGAAAGATTCTCACAGATTTTTTTGCCCAGGCTGGTTTTGAGCCATGAACCTCAGATCTTAGCTTCCTGAGGCATATGAGCCACCGTTTAAAAGGCTTAAAAACCTTTTAAAGGAGAATTTTTTTGTTTTTGTTTTTTCGGTCATGGGGCCTGAACTCTAGGCCTGGACACTGTCCCTCAGCTCTTCAGCTCAAGGCTAGTGCTCTACTACTTAAGCCATAGTGCCACTTCTGTTTTTTTTTTTCCTGCTTATGTGGTGCTGAGGAATCGAACCCAGGGCGTCATGCATGCAAGGCAAGTACTCTACCACTGAGCCACCTTCCCAGCCCCTTAAAGGAGAATTTTTAAGAGAACAAAGCACCTTTGGAAAAATACACTCTTTAGTGATTGTATTCATTTTTGAAGCCCTTCTGTGGATATAGCTTGACTTACTGATGCTAAAATCTAAATGAAACTGCTATAGTTTAAAAACTACCAGGAAGGATTGTTTGTTTTTGCCTATTTTTAATCAGTAAAATGTCCAAGTATATTACACTTTATTCTTTCAGTCTTGAATAGGTATAAGGTCATTTCATCATACTTTTCTTAAGTCTATAATGAGTTTGTAAGAATATATTTTAAAGTAAAAATTTTAGGTAATCCTGTTTATACTAGATTTTAAGAAAACTTCATTGAGACTCCATAAATTTATTGTAAACTTTAAAACCTTTATTATAGGATATGTTTCTCATTACATATTTCAGTTTTTTATTTGTAGTATTTATACTTGTATTTAGCTAAAGATTTCTCTGTATCATTTCCATTTTTTGTCACCTCTCTCATTTTAAAATAAATGAGTTTAGTTCTGAACACAGCTTTCTGAAAACAGTCTAATTGAGTTTCTCATTCATTTTTCTCTTGGGCTGCTTACCCAGGAGAATATTCTGGTGTGTATCCTTTTAAATACTTACATATAACTGCTTTTTAAGCTAGGTATTCCTGGCTGCTATTTTCATTTAATGCTTTCTCATCGTGTGTGTGTGTGTGTGTGTGTGTGTGTGTGTGTGTGTGTGTGTGTGTGTGTGTGTGTGCGTGCGTGTGCGTGCGTGTGTGTGTGTGTGTGTGTGTGTGTGTGTGTGCATGTGTGTGCGCTCAATTTTTTTGCTCTGCATATATTTTCAGCTTTCATGCTTATCTAAATGATAGTTTACATCACGGTTTTTATATACTTTTTCAAGTAACCTAAATTCTTATTTCTTCTGTCTCTGTAGCTTTTGAAAACTTCACTGTATGTTGGCAAAAATCATTTTGCTACTGGAATTTGAACTTATTCTCGCTCCCAGTTTGTCATGAATGCATAGATAGTTAAATGTCAGCATTGAATTTTTAGTATTTTATTTATTTTAAAATCTGGAATATATGGGCTGGGAATGTGGCTTAGTAGTAGAGTGCTTGCCTAGCATGCATGAAGCCCTGGGTTTGATTCCTCAATACCATATACCCAGAAAAAGCCAGAAGTGGCACTATGGTTCAAGTGGTAGAGTGCTAGCCTTAAACAAAAAGAAGCTCAGGGATAGTCTCAGCCCTGAGTTCAAGCCCCAGGACTGGCAGGGAAAAAAAATCTGGAATATTAACTTTAGAAAAAGTAAAAGAAAGCCAGACAGCAGTGGCTCACACCTGTAATACTCTGGAAGCTGAGATCTGAGGATTGAGATTCAAAGCCAGCCTGGACAGAAAAGTCCATGAAACACTTATCTCCAATAAACTATACAGAAAAAGCTGGAAGTGGCACTGTGGATCAAATGGTAGAGTGGTAGCCTTGAGCAAAACAGCTCAGGGACATGGGAAATCATCCAGGCACTGAGTTCAAGCCCCACAACCAACCAAAAAAATAAAATAAATGGACATGTTAAAATTCTTTCCAAAGAAACATTTTATGTACCTGAGCTTATGTATTACTTCTCCCATGATGTTTTTCAACATATGCTAATAACTTATTGGGTTGAGTGAGTGAGGGGCTTTTGGTTTTATTGCTTTGATAGTCTATAAATTCCTATTTCACTTCTTTGGTTTCTTTTTTTTTTTTTTTTTGGTAATGGGGCCTGAACTCTGGGCCTGGGTACTGTCCCTTAGCTCTTTAGCTCAAGGATAGCACTCTACCCCTTGAGCCACAGTGCCACTTCCGGCTTTTTCTGCTTATGTGGTGCTGAGGAATCAAACCCAGGGCGTCATGCATGCAAGGCATGCATTTTACCACTGAGCCGCCTTCCCTGCCCCCCTTCTTTGGTTTCTTATGAGAAACAAATTTAATAGCTGTGTTCTCCTGAAAGACTATTACATTGGATCTTGCATTGAATGCTCTACAAGGCTATCTATCTGTATACCTATTCATTAACTTATTAACCACAAGTCTGTATGATAACAGCTATATCTTATTTCATATATAGCACTTTGTAGGAAACTTTGAATTATTGATTTGCAGTTTCAGGTGTAATTGTATTCAATTCTATTATGAGAAAGAATTGGTAGAGCACATTTTAAGTGTATCAGAACACCCTTATAAATGAAGGAAATCATCTTTATTTCTATTTTTTGCACATCAGTATGCATTAAATCATAACATTGTGAGTCCAGATTTTTTTCTTATCATACAAAGAACTTTATAGATTAATAATCTGTTTTCATGCTGTTTATTACATAAAACATTTCTTGTTCTTTGTTTTTGCTTTACATGGGATGCATGGGCTTTAAGACCATAATTTCTTTGGTAAGGTTTCATCTGTCTTTAGCATAAGACTTGATTTTTAGGCAACAATATCAGTTGTGATTTAGAAATAGTTTCTGATCCACATTAATGCTATTCTTTTTTCCTTCAAGTTATTAGTTAGAAGAAAAGTCTTGGTCCTTTTGAAATATTATCTGGAAGAAAAGGAATATATTCTAACAGATTTAAAAATTGGCCAACAAGCGCTGGTAATGGTAACATACAACTTTACCCAGCTTGTTGAAAGGCTGAGGCAGGAGAATCACTTAAGTCTAAAAATTGGATCCCAGTCCAAGACCCTGCTTCAAAACAACACAAACAAAACAGAAAAGAATTGACCAACAAATTCATTGCCTTTGTTCTGTGATGAATAATTTGTAATTGTACAATCTTAAAAGTATCAAATGAAGTATAAACAAAATAAAATTACTTAGACTTATAAAAGTTATGGCTATAGCTTATATATTTTATAAATTTATCTTCAAATTCTTTATTATTTTTGTTTTGATAGGAATGGGTCGGGAAGTTGAGAATCTCATACTAGAGAATACACAACTATTAGAAACCAAGTAAGTATAGAGTCTTTATTTATTTATTTGGAAGTGTTAAGGAATTGGACTCAAGGCCTCCCACTTGCAAGGCAAGGTATGAGAATTTTAACAAGGAACAAAAATAATGACTTTCTATCCAAGTCACATGACATTTCATTACTTTCACACAGCACTGTATGTCTCCTTACTTCATCTCGCACATGTGCACACACACTTACGGAATAGGTATAGGACCTACATTGACCTAATCACTTAATTTTGTTGCTCTGTTTTTTTATTTGGTGTTGTTTTTTGCAGAAACATTTTTTTCCTACTCTGCAAATATTCATACTTTTCTCTCAGTCTTCTGGATTATTCTACACTTTTATTCCCTAAGATTTGTCTGTTATTTGTTTTCCTTAAATTTCTTATATTTCTGTACAAATGTTTGGATTTATATCAAGGTCACTTCTATAGAACTCCCAATTTATACCTGTAAATTCTTGGGTACAGTTTGTTCAGCCAGCATCATATCTGGACATAGTTAACACAACAGAAAAGTATACTGGTTCCCCTTTTCTGCTTACTGTGTCAAAACAACTTTAGAACAACTGTATGTTCACCCAGAATGCAGCTATAATAAGAACTGGATCTTAGATTTCTTTAAGCTTTTGTTTATTGGTGATCTATCTTGTTTTAGCCATTTTTTGCTTGATAAGCATGAAAAACCTAAACTATTGATTTGTATTATTTTGCCTTTATCTATAGACATTCAGGTAGGATGTCTTGAAGTAGTCAGTTGTTCAGCTTTATTATGGTGTGTTATTTTAATCTACAAAGGAATAGCTAAAAGATGTTTTAATGATGTTTTTGAAATATGTGTTTCTTAGAAATGCTTTGAATGTAGTGAAGAATGATTTGATAGCAAAAGTGGATGAGTTGACCTGTGAGAAAGATGTGCTGCAGGGGGAACTGGAGGCTGTGAAGCAAGCCAAGCTGAAGCTAGAGGAAAAGAACAAAGAACTGGAGGAAGAGCTTAGGAAGTAAGTTTTAACTGTTGCTTAAATCAGACTCTCCAGAATACCACAAAGGATTACTGGTATAAGTCCTTAAGCAAATTGCTGCTTGGTGAGAGTGAAGTGCCCATGCTGCGTTGTTTGCCTCTGTTCTGAGCAGCCTCCTCCATTTACCAGCCTGTTATACAAATAAGACCAATTTTTTCCTCTCTGTTTTGTTTTTGTCGGTCATGGGGCTTGAACTCTGGGCCTGGGCGCTGTCCCTCAGCTCTTCAGCTCAAGGCGACTGCTCTACCACTTGAGCTCCACTTCCAGTTTTCTGAGTGGTTTATTGGAGATAAGAGTCTCACAGACTTTCCTGCCCGTGCTGGCTTTGAACCGTGATCCTCAGATCTCAGCCTCCTGAATAACCAGGATTACAGGCGTGAGCCACTGACACCAGGCTTTTTCCTCTTTACTTTGATGTAAAAAAACTTAGAACTGCTCACATATCTTTAATAACAAGGACATTAGAATTCATTTTTTAATATATATTTTTATTGTAAAGACACTGTACAGAGGGGTTACAGTTACATGAATAAAGTAATGAGTGCATTTCCTATCAAGCATTGTTACCCCCTCTGTAGTTTGGAATTCATTCTTTTCCTTCACCTCGATTTCTTTAAGACCTATTGTTTGCTGTTGTTTGAGATAAGGTCTCATTACAAAGCCCAGGGAGAGTGGAACTTGCTTTGCTTGTTGTTGTTTTGAGTGATAAAATAATATTTTTTCCAAATTGAAGGTGGCTAACTACTGTCTCTCTAACGATAGTAAAATAATCCTTTAGTCATAGTTAAAACTCTTTACTCTTTCCTTATTTGAAAAGATGACTTAAATTCAAATAACATGATTTTTGTTTTGTTTTGTTTTGTTCACTAGAGCTCGTGCAGAAGCTGAAGATGCCAGGCAGAAGGCAAAAGATGAGGATGATGTAGGTTTCTAATTTGGGACTTCTTTATACCTCACTGTGTTTTGATACTTTGGGGAATTTTTTCTAATAAATTTTTGAATAGATAACTATTATAAGGCTCTAAAAAAGACAGCAGACCTGTTTGAAAGAAATGGGATAGCTCATCCTTCCACATGGTATCGAGACAATATCACATTATGAATATACCATCCAGTTTCAGAACTAGAACGTTATCAAACATGAAAACTACTATTTCCTCACATCCAAAGAAAACTATGATCCTTTATTTATCATTTGCAAAACTTAAAGAATAATTTTATCATACCAAAGAAATATGTCCATTTATATATGTACAATATATGTACACACACACACACACACACACACACACACACACACACACACACACACACACACACACACACACACACACACACACACACACACACACACACACACACACACACACACACACACACACACACCCTATTACGTATGGTTTTCCTGTTTTATCTCACCGTTAGGGTCTGGAGGTATTGCTTTGTGGTAGAATACTTGCATGTTCCATGACCTGGATTCAATCCTCAGCAGCACTAAAAAGGGGGAAAAAATTATTTATTCCTCAAGTCTTTCTTCTTTAACTGGACAATATGTTTTCTAGATTTACCTATGTTGTAGTATTGTATAAGTTTATTCATAATTCCCATTATATGAATATTTTACAATTTATCTGTCCTCTTGTTGATGAATATTTAGGTTGTTTTCAATCTTTTATTGCCACAACAATAGTGTTAAGAACATTATAGTAAATGTCTCTTGATGTGGAGACTTGTGGAGTTTTTTTCAGAACACATAAGTATTAGTGGGATTGCTGTGTTGCAGAATTCAGGTCCTTTATTATTTGTTTGTGTTAAGTTTTTTTTTTTTTTGGTCTGGTCGTGAGGCCTGAACTCTGGGCCTGGGCGCTGTCCCTCAGCTCTTCAGCTCAAGGCTAATGCTCTACCACTTGAGCCACAGTGCCACTTCCAGCTTTTTTTTTTTTTTCTGCTTATGTGGTGCTGAGGAATCGAACCCAGGGCCTCATGCATGCAAGGCAAGTTCTCTACCACTGAGCCACCTTCCCAGCCCAAGTTTTTTTTTTTTAACTGTATTTTTTTGTCTTTTCTTTTTTGGTACTGGGGATCGAACCCAGGACGTTGCACTTGCTAGGCAAGCGCTTTGCCACTGAGCTACATCCCAGCCCTGTGTTAAGTTTTATTGAGAGAAGAGGACAAGTTCTGTGTCTGGAGGACAAAGCTGGGCTTGCTGAGGGCTATAAGCACAGCTTTAGTCTCACTGTTACAGACCTTTCAGCTTTGATCCAAAAATTTATATGTTGTTTTCAACAAAGCATAAGAAGGAAGCAAGAGAAGGAATTTAACTTGGTGTTGTCCCTTTGGGTGCTCTGAGCACTGTGTATCCTCCATACTCACATCCTGTTCTAAGGATAATTCTAGCTCATGCAGTGTTCTCTGTAATCTACTGACATTTAAGTCAGTCTTACAGTTGAGATCCTTGGTAACTAAGTAATAAGTTCTCCATTTGTGCTGGTGCCTGGGTGTACATATAGTTGGGTAATTTGAGATAAATGAATTCTTTCTAGAACTAACTTATACCAGTTTGTGAATGACAATTATTATAAATATGAATTTAATAATGTTAGAGCAGTGTTCCAAGTAAAACTTATGAAAACATTGAATCTGTATAGATAACAATTTTTGGTTCTAGTTCAAAGTCTTCTCTTATTTTTTGTAGTTCCTTTATAATACATTTATATATCAGTGTTTATATTCAGAAATTAAACTGCCTGCCCTTTTTCAGCCATAAGTAATAATTGTCTGTTCATTTTACATCTATTAGATTCAAAATTAAGAAATATATAAAAACCTAACATACTGATTAAGTCCAGGATTAACAACAAAACGTATATAAACTCCTGCATTGATTTGTCATCATATTGTATTGTAGAGTGATATTCCCACAGCCCAAAGAAAGCGATTTACTAGAGTAGAAATGGCGCGTGTTCTCATGGAGAGAAACCAGTATAAAGAAAGATTGATGGAGCTTCAAGAAGCTGTTCGATGGACAGAGATGATTAGGTTTGTACAAAGAAGTACCCTGGTGTTTTGTTAATATTGTCTCATAGATTATGTCCCTTTGTTCTAAAGTAGATAGTCCTGCCTTGAGGGTCCAAGCCACTTTCTCTGTTCTCTAGAAGAGACTTTCTAAAGTAATGCTTAGAACAGGATTAGAGACACCCAGAGACTGAGTGTCTTTTGGAACAGTATTTGAAAAATGTTCCCATGACCTGTAAAAGGAAATTTTTCTTAGGAATGATGGTAATTTTTCAAAACAATATTGAAGTGTATATACATTCACATTGTCAGTAAAAGATTTCATCTACAACATAGGAAAGCAAATCATTTTTACTATCTTCCTATGAATTATATTTGCTTGATTTTTTTCTCTCCTATTCATAAAAAATATACCTTTCATTGACATCTACTGAATTGTATTTAAATTTTTTTATTGTTATTATAAGGGAGATATACAAAGAAATTACAGTTACAAAGTCAGGTAAAAAGTATGTTTCTTTTTGGACAATGTCACCCCTTCCCTCGCTAATTGTCTTTTTTTAATATGTATTAATTGTACACATTAGTGAAATTCAGTATGTTCTGTCAACACATGCAATGTAGTGTGTACTGATCAAATCAACTTTTGTATCCACCTTCCCCACCTACCAGACTCTAGTAATAGCTATACTACATGCAAACTGACTTTTTCCCCCCATGTAAGAGAGAATAGGGGATACTTGTCTTTCATTAGATTTTCAGTCTCACTTGGTGCTGCCATCTAATGGTCATTTGCTCAGCAACAGTATTCCTTTAACTCAGAAGGTGCTCACATAAAGTTTGCAAATAAGTTGCCAACTAACTAGTTCACACACACACACACACACACACACACACACACACACAAACTAGTTCACACACACACACACTCACACACATATATATTTTTTAATTTTATTTTTTTTCCATCAGTCAAGAGGCTTGAACTGTGGCCCTAGGCGCTGTCCCTCAGCTCTTCAGCTCAAGGCTAGCTAGCCTTTATCACTTGAGCCACAGGGCCACTTCCGGTTTTCTTAGTGGTTTATTGGAGATAAGAGTCTCACAGACTTTCTTGATCTGGACTGGCTTTAAACCATGATCCTCAGATCTCAGCTTCCTAAGTAGCTAGGATTACAGGCTTGAGCCACCAGTGCCAGGCTCACTTATATTTTTTAGTTTGGATTGTCATCAGATTTACTAGTAACAGTATACATAGTTACATCCTTTTCAAGTTTATAAACTTATTTTTTTTTAATTTTGTTTTATTGTAAAGATGCTGTACCGAGAGGTTACAGTTACATGAGTGAGGCAATGAGAACATTTCTTGTTGAGTATTGTTACCCATCCCTTGTTGTTCTCTCACTATCCCTTCCCTCCCCTGCCTCACTCTCCCCCCATTCCATCCAAAGTTGTCAACTTCATTTCCAATATAGCTTATTTTACTTTGGTCAGTTGTGGGGCTTGAACTCTGGACCTGGCCACTGTCCCTGAGCTCTTCAGCTCAACGCTAGCACTCTACCACTTGAACCACAGTGCTGCTTCTGGTTTTCTGGTGGTTAATTGGAGATTAGAGTCTCAGGACTTCCCTGCATGGGGTGGCTTAAAACCATGATCCTCAGATCTCAGCCTCCTGAGTAGCAGGGATGTGCCACCAGTGCCCAGCTTTTAACAGTTTTTTACTAATCACTGTCATCCTAGGGTGAAGTATGTAACATATTTTGCAACTTGCTGTCATTTTATTTTCAACAGCTCTGGAGGAGATTAGTATTCTAATCTTCATTTGTTGGACAAGAAAACTAAGCTTTAGTAAAGTATGTCGTCCCCCACCCCCACCCCCAACTGTCATGGGGCTTGAGCTCTGGGCCTGGGCGCTGTTCCTGAGCTCTTCAGCTCAAGGCAAGTGCTCTACCACTTGAGCACCACTTCCGTAAAGGATATTCTTTACTGTAGATTTAATAAATGTGTCGAGTAAATAATAAATGTTTTAAAAACAGAGCATGTAGCCAGACTATATTTTTCTTGCTGTTTTTTTTTGTTTTGTTTTTGTTTTTTTGCTAGTCATGAGGCTTGACCTCCTGGGTATTGTCCCTGAACTCCTTTTTGCCCAAAGCTAGGACTCTACCACTTGAGCCACAGTACTACTTCCAGCTTTGTGTATGTGGTTAATTGAAGATAAGAGTCTCATGGACTTTCCTGCCCGGGCTGTCTTTGAACTGTGATCCTTGGATCTCAGCCTCCTGAGTAGCTAGGATTATAGGTTTGAGCCATCAGCACCTGGCTTCTTTCTGTTTTTAATACTAGAAGCCAAGCAGTAGTCCAGTCAGAAACTAAAAGAAAATGGAAGCTTAGTTTGAACTGTTCATTGAACTAAAAGATGCCTTAATTAGCCAGGCACCAGTGGCTTACCCCTCTAAGCCCAAAGTTCAAGCTCCACAACTGACAAAAAAAAAAAAAAAAAGATGCTTTAATTAGTCCTTAAAATGGTATAAAGGTATAAAAAGGGGCAGGAGTGGGGGGAGCTCTGTAGGGATAGCAGAATCCTTCCTGTGTTACTAAATCAATTTGGAATGTTGAGGTTTTTTTGAATTACTTGTCCTTTTAGTTTCTTCTTTTCTTGTTTCTAAGTCAGTTTGTGGCAATGGAAAAGTTTTATTCCTACGAAAAATACTCATTACAATAGTAGGACTTACATACATGGCTCAAATGTTAGAGCACTTGCCTAACAAACACAAGACCCTGAGTTATAAGCTATTTCATAAAAGCTAACAGTACAGATGATAGAAATTTTTATGCCTTTATATGTAAACAGGTTTTTGTTTTGGTCCCATTCCTGGGCCTCAGGGCCTCATGCTTTTGCTTGGCTTTTGTGCTCATGACTGGTGCTCTACCACCTGAGCTACAGATCCTCTCCCAGATTTTTGCTAGTTATTGGAGATAAGAGTCTTCCAGATTTGTTTGTCTAGGCTGGCCTTAAACTGCAATCCTGAGAGTTTGCTTCTTTAAAACAGTGATTAAGCAGGGAGCCAAGTGGCTCATGCCTATAATCCTAGCTACTCAAAAGGCTGAGATCTGAGTTTGAAACAAGCCTTGTCAGGAAAGTCCATGAGACTCTTGTTTCCAATTAACCATCAAAAAGCCAGACATGGAGCTGTGGCTAGGTTGTATAGTGCTATAGTCTTGAGCAAAAAAGTTCAGGGACAATGCTCAGGCTCTGAGTAAGCCTCCAGACGATCACAAAAAAAAAGAAAGAAAGAATGAAAGAAAGAGTCAGGCACCAGTGGCTCATACCTGTAATCGTAGCTATTCAGGAGGCTGAAATCTGAGGATTGCAATTCAAAGCCAGCCTGGACAGGAAAGTCTGTGAGACTCTTATCTCCAATTTTAACCACCAGAAAACTGGAAGTGGCCCTGTGGCTCAAGCGATAGAGTGCTTACCTTGAGCTGAATTCCGAAGGACAGCACCCAGGCCCAGCGTTCAAGCCTCATGACCAACAAAAAAAAAAAAAAGAAAAGAAAAATCAGTGTGATGAAAAAGATATGCTCTTTTTATCACTTTAGCAGACTCATGGTAGTCAAAAAATTTCCATGCTGAATGTAATCATTGACTCTCCTCTACAAACTTCTTGAATCTTTTGTTCTTCAGTTAGAGAGCTAAAACATCTAACTGGTAGCATTTTTCTTTTTGTTTTGTAATGTAGAGCATCAAGAGAAAATCCAGCCATGCAAGAAAAAAAAAGGTCAAGCATCTGGCAGTTGTAAGTACATTAAGGGTATCAGACAGCACTTTGAGACAAGATCATAATCAATTTATTTTTTTCAATTGGGAGAAAATAGCTAAACTGAACTTCTTCTTTTTGAATATAGTGTACCAACTGGGTAAGGCTGTTCTTGAGGACCAAAAATATATTCTTGTAAGCTGCATCGTGCTGGTTATGCATTTGGTGGAATCCTTTGCTAGACTAAGTAAACCCTAATGAGAAATTCTTTATAAAGTTGACAGTTACCTAGCTCCTCATTACTGAGTTACTACTGTTTGAAGGAACTTCACAAAGTGAGAATGAGAAATTTAATGTTGGTAGGATTTGATTAGTATGAGCATATTAACCTTGATTATGTTTGTGTGAGATGTAACTATGGTTAAAACTTAGCATTTTGGGGTGAATCGTAAAATTTTTTAAACTGGATATGAAAGTTGTTATATAAATGAGCTTAATCAGAAAATACATAAGATCTATATTAACTTGGTAATGTGTGTTGTAATACTTCCTTATAATAGCTTCTCTTTAGAACTGACACACTAAAAGCTTCTGTTCAAATCACGTGACCAAAATATTACTGCTTAACAACTGCTTTTATTGCTCCAAGTAGGAGCTAGCTAAGGTTTATTTTGTTTATTCAATGGAAGTTCCCTGTGCCCAAGAACTTCTCCCTTTCATTATGGAAATTGCTAATAAAGGAAAGGCATTTGGCATAAACCCAGTAGTTTCTCTTTTTCCAAGTCTGAGTTTGGTTGTGAGTTACTGCTAAGGCTTCAGTGTATGGCTACAAAAAAAAAAAAAACCTGCCTTTGCCAATTTCTAACCCATTGCCTTGTAAAAGCACTTTGGATTTCCCCCCTGCATTGCTTCGGACCAAACCCAGGGTCTTGCACATGCTAGATAAGTGCTTTACCGCTAAGCTACATCCTCAGTTCTGAAGTTTCCTTGAGCATACAAATTTGTGGATAATCATGAATTGTTCCTGTGGATGTGCTAAGCACACATATTTCTTTTCTTTTAAGTTTCAGCAGACTTTTCAGCTCTTCTAGTAATACAACAAAGAAACCTGAACCTCCTGTTAATCTGAAGTACAATGCACCCACCTCTCATGTCACTCCTTCTGTCAAGAAAAGAAGCAGCACTTTATCTCAGCTCCCTGGGGATAAGTCCAAAGCCTTTGATTTCCTTAGTGAAGAGTAAGTATTTTCCAGGCTAATGGTCTTGCCCCAAGTAAATTAACAAACTAGAATTTTCTTGCTCCTTATCAGATCTCTTTTAAGGAATTAGATTCATCTATAAAGAAACATAGCTACCTTTAAGTAAATGATTTGCAGCCAATACTTTTTCGTGAAAATTCTATTTCAAAGTTCTTTTTTTTTGCCAATCCTGGAGCTTGAACTCAGAGTCTGGGTACAGTTCCTGAGCTTCTTTGGCTCAAGGCTAGCACTCCAGCACTTGAGCCATAGAGCCACTTCCTCCGGCTTTTTGTTTATGTGGTACTGAGGAATTGATTACAGGGCTTCATGCATACTAGGCAAGTTGACCACTAAGCCACATTCCTAGTCCCCACTTCACAGTTCTTTATTTTTTTTTAAATTTTTTATTGTAAAGATACTATACAGAGGGTTACAGTTACATGAGCAAGGTAATGAGTACACTTCCTATTGAGCATTGTTACCCCCTCCATTGTTTTCCCCCTACCATCCCTTCCCTCCCTACCTTCCCCGAGGTTCTTTTTTTTTTTTTTAATTGTGATTAAGTGATTACATAATTTCCCAAATTTCACAGTATTGTGGAATAATGATGCTCATTTAAAGTCACAAGTTCATTCTACACAGTTCTTTATTTTTTATGCCAGTCCTGGAACTTGAACTCACTGTCCTTGAGCCTCTCTGTGCTCAAGGCTAGCACTCTGTCATTTGAGCCACAGCACCACTTCTGGTTTTCTGGTGGTTCATTGGAGATAAGAGTCTCACGGACTTTCCTGCCCAGGCTAGCTTTGAACTACAATCCTCAGATCCCAGCCTCCTGATTAGGATTACAGGCATGAGCCACTGGCACCCAGCAAGAAGGACTTTTTTTTTTTTTGGTTGGTCATGGGGCCTGAACTCTGGGCCTGGGCACTGTCCCTTGGCTCTTCAGCTCAAGGCTAACACTGTACCACTGAGCCACAGCACCACTTTCGGCTTTTTCTGCTTATGTGGTGCTGAGGAATCAAACCCAGGGCCTCATGCATAGAAGGCAAGCACTCTACCACTGAGCCACCTTCTCAGCCAAGAAGAAATTTTTTGAGTGCTTGATTTTGTACATATTATTATATTGATCAATGTTAATAGAAATGCTGAAGGTATTATTCTTAATAAGCCTTTATTGAAAATGATGTACGTTTCCTTTGTTGTCAAAAAGATTTAGTTGTCTCCTTTAATCTGTTACACATAAGCTATATACATAGGGCTGGTAATGTGGCTTAGAGGTAGAGTACTTGCTTAGCATGCATAAAGCCCTGGGTTCAATTCCTCAGTACCACATCAAAACAAAACAAAACAAAAAGATACATATACAGACTAACCTCTAAAAGTTGGTGAATAAAAATGAGGGTAGCTGGGCACCGGTGGCTCACGTCTGTAATCCTAGCTACTCAGGAGGCTGAGATCTGAGGATCATGGCTCAAAGCCAGCCCCGGCAAGAAAGACCATGAGACTCTTGTCTCCAGTAAACCACCAGAAAACTGGAAGTGACGCTGTAGCTCAAGTGTTAGAGCACTTGCCTTGTGCTGAAGAGCTGAGGGACAGCGTCCAGGCCCAGAGTTCAAGCCCACAACAGACCAAAAAAAAAAAAAATATATATATATATATATATATATATATATATATATATATACACACACATACAGGCGCCCATGTCTCAAACCTGTGATATTAGCTACCCAAGAGGCTGAGTTCTGAGGATCACAGTTCAAAACCAGCTTAGGCAAGAAAGTTCATAGGACTGATCTCCAATTAACTACTAGAAAGCCGGAAGTGGAGCTGTGACTCAGGTGTTAGAACACTAGCCTTGAGCAAAGAAGCTCAGGGACAGAGCCCAAACCCTGGACCAATATTGCCCCACCCACCCAAAAAAAAAAGTATATAGAGATAGATATAGATAGATTTAATGTCTCAGGTGTTACTAGGTTTATATTGTATAGTATCTATAAAATGTCTAGATTTGATAACTGTGGTCTATACAAGTTACTCCATAAAAAAATTTTAAGGTGGCATTAATTTATAAAGCTTAATATACCACATGATCAGTACTCAGTCAAGAGAAAACACTTGAGTAGAGATCTTCAGATACATACTTCATAAAAATTTAAATGGCCAAAAGAAATTACTTTCAGGGACTGGGAAGGTGGCTCCGTGGTAGAGCGCTTGCCTTGCATGCATGAGGCCCTGGGTTCGATTCCTCAGTACCACGTAAGCAGAAAAAAAAGCCGGAAGTGGCATTGTGGCTCAAGTGGTAGAGCGCTAGCCTTGAGCTGAAGAGCTGAGGGACAGGGCCCAGGCCCAGAGTTCAGGCCCACGACTGGACCCAAAAAAAAAAAGAAATTACTTTCAGAATTTTTAATACTTACTCCATAGTTCTGAAGCTTACTAAGTTATTTGTACTTTTGTCTTCTGAAATAAGTTATTAGTGTCAAAATCATTTCAGAATTTTTTTTCCTTTTATATGGCCTATATATGAAACCTGATAGAAATTTGATGGCTGACATTTCAGTTTAATATAACAGGCTGAGTTGGACCCATGGCTCAAGCAGTAGAGTTATCTGCCTAGTAAATCTTATGTTCAAACCCAGTACTAGTACCAAAAAAATATAAGATACCCATCATTTTTTAAAGAAATAACATATTAGGCTGCTGCTTCACTACACAAACTTGAAAACTCCAGCTTTGGTATAACACTAAGCTTTTATAGTCTGAACAAGAAAGTTTGGAGTCAAGTAATTTTTGTTTATTTACATTTTGTTTTTTCTGCGCTACTTTATCAAGAGAAGGGAAATAACTTTTCTATTCATTTAATCAAAAAAAGAAATGTGTTTTCCTTTTAGAACTGAAGCTAGTTTAGCCTCACGCAGGGAGCAGAAGAGAGAACAGTATCGGCAGGTGAAGGCACATGTTCAGAAGGAAGATGGTAGAGTGCAAGCTTTTGGCTGGAGTCTGCCTCAGAAGTACAAACAGGTAACTGGGAATGTGCTGGATGTTTAGGGGAACACATGAGGTGAGAGGAGTATGTGAGGGATAAATAATTTGAAGTGTGTGTCCCAAACACTCACTTAAAGCTGCGCGTACATGTTTAGACAAGTGTAGAGAGGCTTTCTAGCACCCTAGAGCATAAAAAAAAATACCTCTGTACCTCTTAAAGACGCAACACATCTGTGTTTAAATACATATGTGCAAATTAGTAGCTTTTCTGAGCTTCCTTAGTTCCCTCATTTTTTTCCAGTTGTTACTCGATTTTCTGCTTATTTTTCAAATAAAAATGATGAGTCAACCTGAACGTGATTTTCAGAAGCAAATATGGAACAGAGATGTTGCTTATGTCTCAAGGGTTCTATAAGTTCACTTTTGACAGTACTCAAGACCTTGTGCTTTTTTTTTTTTTTTTTTGGGTCCGGTAGTGGGGCCTGAACTCTGGGCCTGGGCGCTGTCCCTCAGCTCAAGACTAGCGCTCTACCACTTGAGCCACAGCGCCACTTCCGGCTTTTTTTCTTTTTGCTTATGTGGTGCGGAGGAATCGAACCCAGGGCCTCGAGCATGCAAGGCAAGCGCTCTACCACTGAGCCACCTTCCCAGCCCAAGACCTTGTGCTTTCAAGGCAGGAACTCTACTACTTGAATCTCTTCTCCAGCCTGGATGTTTGGTGTGTGTGTGTGTGTGTGTGTGTGTGTGTGTGTGTGTGTGTGTGTGTGTGTGTGTGTGTGTGTGTGTGTGTGTGTGTGTGTGTGTGTGTGTGTGTGTGTGTGTGTGTGTGTTCGGGCCTTGAACTGTGTGTGTGTGTGTGTGTGTATGTGTGTGTGTATTCGGGCCTTGAACTGTGTGTGTGTGTGTGTGTGTGTGTGTGTGTGTGTGTGTGTGTGTGTGTGTGTGTGTGTGTGTTCGGGCCTTGAACTCAGGTCCTGAACACACTCTCTGAGCTTTTTTGCTCAAGGTTTGTGCTCTTGCCACTTGAGCCACACCTTTACTTCCAGCTTTTTTTCTGTGCTGAATTGTATATAATAGTCTCATGGACTTTCCTGCCTGGGCTGACTTTGAACCACAATCTTGAGTAGCTGGGATTACAGGATTACATGAGCCACTGCACCAGGCTTGAAATTCACTTTTGATGAGATTTACCAATGATATCTTTTCCATTGTTAGGTAACCAATGGTCAAGGGGAAAATAAGATGAAAAATTTACCTGTGCCTGTCTATCTCAGACCTCTTGATGAAAAAGATACATCCATGAAGGTAAGTAAATTGAAAATTAAAGTGGATATTCCCCCAAACATGAGTTTTGTTTTGTTTTTTTTTTTTTTTTGCTTAAAAATGCTACTTAGAGCCGGGCGCTGGTGGCTCACGCCTGTAATCCTAGCTACTCAGAAGGCTGAGATCTGAGGATTGCGGTTCAAAGCCAGCCCGGGCAGGAGAGACCGTGAGACTCCTATCTCCAATAAACCACCAGAAAACCGGAAGTGGCGCTGTAGCTCAAGTGGTAGAGCGTTCGCCTTGAGCTGAAGAGCTGAGGGACAGCGCCCAGGCCCAGAGTTCAAGCCCCATGACTGACCAAAAAAAAAAAAAAAATGCTACTTAGGGCTGGGAAGGTGGCTCAGTGGTAGAGCGCTTGCCTTGCATGCCTGGGGCCCTGGGTTCGATTCCTCAGCACCACATAAACAGAAAAAGCCGGAAGTGGCACTGTGGCTCAAGTGGTAGAGTGCTAGCCTTGAGCTGAAGAGCTGAGGGACAGCGCCCAGGCCCAGAGTTCAGGCCCCACAACTGGACCCCCCCCCCAAAAAAAAAAATGCTACTTATATAGTGAGATTATATAGCTATATAATATACTAAAAATCTTTATCCACTACCATTAGTTAGTTTAGAAAAGGTTAGAAATTCTAAATATTTTTAGAGAGAAGATGACAGTAACTTTGTTCTCTCCACTCCCACTCCCAACTTGAGAAGCTCTGGTGTGCTGTTGGAGTTAATTTATCTGGTGGGAAGACCAGAGATGGCGGTTCTGTTGTTGGAGCAAGTGTGTTTTACAAAGATGTTGCTGGTTTGGACACTGAAGGCAGTAAGCAGCGAAGTGTATCTCAGAGCAGCTTAGATAAGCTAGATCAAGAACTTAAGGTAAGTATATGATTTTTCTGGTGTAGATTCTATCTGCACTGGCTTACCTCCCCACTATCCTGTTAAAATCAATTTTATTAAGGAGTCAACTTAATCAAATATATATTTGAAATGACCATAGTTGAGTTTTGCTAAATATATACACTTTTGTAACCAATACTACCGAAAAGATATTTTTTAAAAAATAACGTACTTTTATAATTGATCTGGTTTAACTACTACTTTAGTGTAGTTAAAATACTGATGCACAATTTACCCTTCCAAATAAACTAGAAATAAGCCAGGCATCTGTGGCATACACCTGTAAACCTAGCTACGCAGAAGGCTGAGATCTAAGGATCATGGTTTGTTTTTTTTTTTTTTGGGTCCAATCATAGGCCTGAACTCTGGGCCTGGACGCTGTCCCTCAGCTCTTCAGCTCAAGGCTGGCTAACACTCTACCACTTGAGCCACAGCGCCACTTCCGGCTTTTTTCTTTTTGCTTATGTGGTGCTGAGGAATCAAACCCAGGACCTCAAACATGCAAGGCAAGCGCTTTACCACTGAGCCACCTTCCCAGCCTAGGATCATGGTTCAAAGCCAGCCTGGGCAGGAGAGTCCGTGAGATTCCTATCCCCAGTTAATCACCAGAAAACCAGAAGTGGAGCTATGGCTTGAGCTGAAGAGCTGAGGGACAGTGCCCAAGTCCAGAGTTCAAGCCCCCATGACCGACCAAAAAAACAAAAACACAAAAAACTGGAAATAAATGTAAAATGGTATTATTGGGCTGGGTGTCTATAATCTCAGCTATGGTAAATGGAGATTGGGACGACTGAAGTTTAAGGATATGAAGATTGGGATGACTGAAATTTAAGGATAACCTGGAGAAAAGTTAGGAAGATACCACTACCTCAACAATCAAGCTGGGCATAGTGGTATACTTTTATGAGCTCTGCTGTGCAGGTAGGTAGGTAGGATGGTTGCAGTCTAGGTTGGTCCCAGTAAAAAATGTGAGACCCTACTTGATAAACGGGGTATGGTGTAGCTTAAGTGGTAAAGAACCAGCTTAGAAGGTTCAAGGCCCTGATTTCAAACTCCAGTGAAGGAAGGTAGGAAGAAGGAAAGGAGAGAAAAGGGAGTGCTTATCTTTTCTGTGTTAGCACAGCGTTACGAATATTCACACAGAAATCATTTCAAACATTAATTTTCCTTACTGTGACAACCTAGGAACAGCAAAAGGAGTTGAAAAATCAAGAAGAATTATCCAGTCAAGTCTGGATCTGTACTAGCACTCATTCAGCTACGAAAGTTATCATCATTGATGCTATTCAACCAGGCAACATCCTAGACAGTTTCACTGTTTGCAACTCTCATGTTCTGTGCATTGCAAGTGTCCCAGGTAAGAGTGAGCAGTGCACCTCTCTACTGCTCACACCTCTTTCCAGGCAGGAAGTCACTTCTGTACCAGCGTTCATGGAGTTGACCTTCTAGTTGAAGAAGACCAAAAATAAACTAAAAACCATTGAGTAAAAAGATGTTTTCAAGTATTTAATTTGAAGGAAATAAAATAATAGTAACAGAACCAGTGCTCTAGGCACTAATATTATGTGTTCCATTCAGTGTTGCGTATGAAAGTGACAGTGAATAAAGCTAGTTTGAGTTAATCTGCTTTTATTTTTTGGAGGGAAAAAGGCAAGATGTTAGAATATAATGTGTGGTTTATATTCATCCCCTGGCCTCATTTGTTAATTGATTGTATTGTGATTGGCTGTTTGAACACTCATCAAGTTTTCTTATTCATTGATATTTGGACAATAAATTTGGCTATTTGCCAGATTTTCCATTCTTATGATATGAGACAATACAAAATGTACAAAAGTCAGTAAATTCAGATTTATATCTTTAAAAATGAAAAAGAATTGTCTTCTCAGACATTTTCATGGTTTTTATTTGCATTAATTAAAATGTTTTTTTTTTTTGTTTGTTTGTTTGTTTTTTTGGGTCCGGTCATGGGGCCTGAACTCTGGGCCTGGGCGCTGTCCCTCAGCTCTTCAGCTCAAGGCTAACGCTCTACCACTTGAGCCACAGCCCCACTTCCGGCTTTTTTTCTTTTTGCTTATGTGATGCTGAGGAATTGAACCCAGGGCCTCATGCATGCAAGGCAAGTGCTCTACCACTGAGCCACCTTCCCAGCCCCTAATTAAAGTGTTATTTATGTTTTAAGTTAATTTTCCCATTCTGCCAAGGTTAGTTTACATTGATGCTGGCAGCTTGGCAAATGTATATGAGTACCTGTATGTTTCACAACTGTCATCTCAAACCTAAAGTTACTTGGATGGGAAAAAAGCTGCTTATTTGCTTAATTAACTCATTGAGGAACTCTGTTGTCTCTTTTTAGGAGCCCGAGAAACAGATTATCCTGCAGGAGAAGAACTTTCAGAATCTGGTCAGGTGGACAAAGCGTCTTTATGTGGAAGCGTGACCAGCAATAGCTCAGCAGAGACGGATAGCCTTTTGGGAGGCATCACAGTGGTCGGTTGCTCCACCGAAGGTGCAGTAGGAACTGCCACCTCCCCTAGTACCAATGGTGCTTCTCCAGTAATAGAAAAGCCACCAGGTAAACCTGTGCCAACTGTGAGCCTACCCCAGGATGCCTCAATGCGTGCTTATAAATCATAAAGTGACAGGATGAATGAGTTGGAGAAAAGATAGTATAGTGATTATTATGTGAATCATGGGTTTTCAATTTCATAACATAGGGTGAAGGAGGAGGGGGGAGTGGGGTGGAGTCTTTTAGCAGAGGTTTATGCAGAAAACTATTACAGTGGGAAAGCCCAAACTCTGAATGGTTTCTTTTGTTTGTTTGTTTGTTTTTGGTTTTTGGGGTTTTTTTTTTAATGTATTTTACAGAAATGGAGGTGGAGAACAGTGAGGTTGATGAAAATGTTCCAACAGCAGAAGAAGCAACTGAAGCCACAGAAGGCAATGCAGGGTCCACTGAAGATACTGTGGACATGTCCCAAACTGGCGTGTACACAGAACATGTTTTTACAGATCCATTAGGAGTTCAAATCCCAGAAGATCTCTCCCCAGTCTATCAGTCAAGGTATATAGCCTACATCAGTAACTTGGGAGACTAGGTATAGTGCTTAATAAAAAGAACCAGGGGGTTGGAGGCATGATTTAGTTTGGTAGAGGGCTAGCCAGTGAACAAAAGCATCGTATACCTAGTTTGAGTCCCAGTCTTAGTCCCCCCAAAAAGGAAAGAAAGCCAAACACTGGTGGCTCACACCTTTAAATCCTAGCCTACCCAGGAGGCTGAGATCTGAGGATCACAGTTCAAAGCCCATCCAGGCAGGAAAGTCTCTGAGGCTCTTACTTCTAATTAACCACCAAAAAAGCCTAGAAATGGATTTGTGGCTCAAGTGGTAGAACGCTAGCCTTAAGCTCAGGGACACCACTGAGGCTTAGTTCAAGCCCTAGGAATGAAACATACATACACAAATACAGTTTTCACCAGGTACTGGTCATCCTAGCTACTCTGGAGGCTGAGATTTCAGGATCGAGGTTTGAAGTCAGCCTGGGCAGGGAAGTCTATGAGACTCGTATCTCCAATTAAGCACCCAAAAAAGAACATTATACTGTCTTCTCTTCTGTTTATAACTCATTTTCACCCTATTCATTCCCACTCCAGTTATCAGCAAAATGGGGTATCATTTACATTTGTCATTGTTTAGTTTTTTCAGGTGAGCTTAAGTGACTTTTTTCTCCCCAGTACCAGAAATTGAACCCAGGGCCTTATACCTCTTAGGCACACTGTTTACTACTTGAGTTATGAGTTATGCCACAAATCTGTATGTCATCAGTTCTTTTGTTTTCATTTTGTATTTGAGATATTGTCTTCCTACATAGCAAAGGCTGATATTGCACTCAAGATCCTCCTGTTTATTTGCCTCTCTAATAGCTAGATTATAGTTGTGCATCACCTTGAGTGACCTTTTTTATTTAGTTAGCTTTCCTATGTACATTTTATTGAAAAAATAATCAGGCCTGGAAGTGCAAAGCCTATAATAACTTCAACATGTAATAGGCTGAGACAGGAGTATCATGAATTTGAGGCCAGTCTTGGCTATATAAGAAGGCCCTGCCAAAGAGAAAGAGAGAGAGGAAGGGAAATATAGATATAAATATAGATAGAGATATACACATATCTATAGATATATAGATTTATAGGTATATATAGAGAGAGATTTATTTTAGGTTCTTTCTTTAAAAAGTTGGTTACTCTAGGCCCTTTTTATGAATTTGTTTATTCTCTTTCTAGATCTCCTTAATGGAGATCTCTAAACTGGATCCTTTTTCAAAAGTCTTAGTACTTAATTATTAATTCAGGACTAAACATATTTTGACTTTGATAACTTAGTTACATATCTCTAAGTGTATCCTGACAGGGGCAGGGAAGATGGCTCAGTGGTAGAGTGCTTGCCTCGCATGCACGAGGCCCTGGGTTCAATTCCTCAGTACCACATAAACAGAAAAAGCCGGAAGTGGTACTGTGGCTCAAGTGGTAGAGCACTAGCCTTGAGCTGACGAGCTGAGGGACAGTGCCCAGGCCCGGAGTTCAGGCCCCACTACCGATGGGGTAGGGAGGGAGAATCATTTGGAGATAGAACATAAGCAAATTTTAGTTAATATTACAAAATTCCTTTTTTTGTGTGCCAGTCATTAGGCTTAGAAACACTCGCCCCCACCCCCCACCCCCCTCCAGGCCCTGGGTATTGTCCCTGAGCTTTTTTGCTCAAGGCTATCACTCTACCACTTGAGCTCTACTTCAGACTTTTTGATAGTTTAATGGCGATTAGAATCTTAGATTTTCTTGCCAGGATTGGCTTCAATCCTCAATCTCTAGCTCTTATCCTCCTGAGTAGCTAGGATTACACATATGAGCCACCAGTACAAAGTTCTTTAAATGTAACATGTGTGTGTGTGTGTGTGTGTGTGTGTGTGTGTGTGTGCGTGTGTGTGCGTGTGTAAGAGATTAAGAAAAGTCACAGGTATAAGTGGTAGACACTTCTCCCACCTCACCCTAGAAGAATCTGTTGTAAACCAAAGTAACTATAGAGGAGAATCCTAATTTTAGTGTATGTATAAACTGGTTTCTTTGCCATTACTTACTCCCTTATCTATACTTGGAGCCTCCTAATTTGCTAATTTTTCTGGTATAATTGTTCATATATTTAATATAAGCATTTAACATTCACTTTTCTGAAGTTTTATTGTTTTGTTTTGTTTCTGACGGTATAAATTTAAATGTAGAAATATTCAGTCCCTGAACTCTATACCTAATTACATACTCGGCTTTTTTTCTTACACTCTGTCTTCCCAGTAATGATTCAGATGTGTATAAAGATCAAATATCAGTATTGCCAAATGAACAAGACCTGGTGAGAGAAGAAGCTCAGAAAATGAGTAGTCTTTTACCAACCATGTGGCTTGGAGCTCAGAATGGCTGGTAGGTCTCAGTACTTCTACCATGACAAAATCTTTAATCCTGACATTTTCCTTTTGAAAGAAAAACATAAATAAGTAAAATATATAAGTACAAATGCAAACAAATATGAATTAATATGAAGTTTTTTTATTCTGTCGTGGGGCCTGAACTCTGTCTGGGCCTGGGCGCTGTCCCTCATTCTTCAGCTCAAGTCTAGCATTCTACCACTTGAGCCACAGTGTCACTTCCAGCTTTTTCTGCTTATGTGGTACTGAGGAATTGAACCTAGGGCCTCATGCATACAAGGCAAGCACTCTACCATTGAGCTACCTTCCCAGCCCCTGAAGAATTTGTTTGTTTGTTTGTTTTTGTCAGTTATGGGGCATGAACTATGGGCCTGGGTGCTGTCCCTCAGCTCTTCAGCTAGCACTCTACCACTTGAGCCATAGCACCACTTCCAGCTTTTTCTAAGGAATCGAACCCAGGGCCTCATGCATGCAAGGCAGGCACTCTACCACTGAGCCACCTTCCCAGCCCTGAAGAATTTTTTTATACACAAGATTTAAGGTTTTGTTGCAACTGTCTCAAACTAGATTTGTAATGGTTCTGCATGGTAAACTGTATTTTTTGTTCACAGAATGCTCTCTTTATGTACTTAGAAGAGGTAAAGAAAATTTTAAAGTCTGTAATTTACAAATAGAAGAGAGACAAAGTTATTGATATATAGGCTCTCTCTTGGCTTTTTCTGCTCATGGCTGGCACACTATTTACCATGTGAGCTATGCCTCCAGTCAAATGTTTTGCTGGTTAATTGGACATAAGACTCTTGAAGACTTTTTACTGCGCTGGCTTCTACCTATGATTGACTAAGGTGTTTGGCTTCAGAAAGATCTAATCCCAAACACAACTATTTGATAAAATTACTAGAGACTAGAACAAATTACTATGTCTGAAAGCTCAGATGGAAACCAAATCACATGGTTTGTTCACTTTCTACTTGGGTAGATAATCTCAAAAACCTGTTTTTAAACAGTTAAGAAGGTCACAATGTGCTTCCATAGGGGTTCAGTATTATAAAAAAGGAGGTCAACAAATCTAGTGGAACTTTATATATGGACATGAAAATTTGAATTTTATTTAAACCTTATGCCATGAAATATTCTTTAATCATCCCATAGCCATTTAAAAATATAAAAACTGAGCCGGGCGCTGGTGGCTCACGCCTGTAATTCTAGCTACTCAGGAGGCTGAGATCTGAGGATCGCGGTTCAAAGCCAGCCCAGGCAGGAGAGACCGTGAGACCGTGAGACTCCTATCTCCAATAAACCACCAGAAAACTGGAAGTGGCACTGTAGCTCAAGTAGTAGAGAGCTCGCCTTGAGCTGAAGAGCTGAGGGTCAGCACCCAGGCCCAGAGTTTAAGCCCGCGACCGACCAAAAAAATGAAATAAAATAAAAACTGCTCTTCAATTCTAGACTGTACTAAAGCAAGTAGCAGACTAGATTTGTCCAGGACAGGCTGGAACTAACTGATGCCACTAAGTGATATTCTAATATCACCAGCCTCTCAATTTCTGAATGTTTCTGTTTGTTTGAACAGCCTATTTGTCTGACTTGGGCCTACCCTGACTTTCATTTTTGTTTGCTTTCTGACTATTGTGCAAAAGCAGCAGTACTTTTTCCTAAAATTTGAACGTTACTCTTCTTTCCTCTTTGTGATCATTATTTACTATTAGCTGTAAGCAGCACTTGATACTCTCAAGGCCTCACCAATCTTGACTTTCTTCCTGCAGTTTATATGTCCACTCATCTGTGGCCCAGTGGAGGAAATGTCTCCATTCCATTAAACTTAAAGACTCGATTCTCAGTATTGTGTAAGTTTTATTTATTTTTTATTTCTTCCCTTTAAAAGTATTTATTTTGGCATAACCTACATTTTAAGACTAGTAAGTAACATTACGTATATTATGTCTAAATCAATACCCAAGTTTAATTGGTTCAATTGTTTTTAACTTAGAAGAATTAAGAATGAAATTCTGCAATAGAAACTGAAGTACAAAAATTTAAGGATAAGCAAACTCTTGCCAGATTGATTCTTCACTTACTTCAAGGAAAGGATCAATACCTATTAGTTTATATTTGTTTCATTCTTTTTTAGTTTCTGAATATGTCGTTTGGTATATTAGTTCACTGGTCCTTTCTATGTGTTGACTATTAAAGTTCTTGCAGATTGTATTTAATTCCACAGAGTGAACTCTGTTAATTCCACTCAGAGTGTGTGTCTCTGGTTTGTAGAATTGTGTTGGCCACCTGCAATAAGAAGAAGAGTTTAGGCTACAAAGTCAACAACTAATGTACCACACAGACTGTTGATTTGTTTTAGCCAGCAAGTGTTTATAGCATGATGCTCACAGTAAGACAGTGCTTTCATTGAAGTGTTGTGTCAGTGCCTCTTCGCATGGAAAACTGGCCTCTGAGTAGACTGCAGTAATACAATAGTATGTGGTTCCTTCTATGTTCTTCATGGAGGTTCTGAAATCTCTTTTTTTATTTGTAGGCATGTGAAAGGAATTGTGTTAGTGGCCCTGGCAGATGGCACACTTGCAATCTTTCACAGAGGAGTTGGTGAGTGGTTAGGAATGTGTAACATGTACACTGATTTGTTGCTTTGCAAAGCATCTTCAAGCAGGTTGCTTTATTTTGTCATAAAGAAGACACTTAAGAGGACAAAGAGTAAGTTTTATATGAATAATATTTGAATACCCTTAAAGAAGTGTGGGTTTACAGAGTACCTCATATATTTACTCAATTAGGAAAAAATAGGGTATTTTTTCTTTTGTCCTTTTTTTTTTTTTTTTTTTTCCGGGTCAGTCGTGGTCCTGAACTCTGGATCTGCCCCTCAGCTCTTCAGCTCAAGGCAAGGGCTCTACCTCTTGGGCCACAGTGCTACTTCCAGCTTTTTCTGCTTATGTGGTGCTGAGGAATTGAACCCAGGAGCACTGAGACACCATCCTAGCCCCCCCACCTTTCTTTTTTTGTCGATTGTGGGGCTTGTACTCAGGGCTTGGACACTGTTCCTGAGCTCTTTTGCTCAAGGCTAGCACTCTACTACTTTGAGCCACAGCTCTACTTCTGGTTTTCTAGTGGTTAATTGGAGGTAAGTCTCATGGATTTTCTGCCCAGGCTAGCTCTGAACCACAATCCTCAGATCTCAGCCCCCTGAGTAGCTAGGATTACAGACTTGAGCCACCAGCACTTGGGGGGTGGGGGGGTGGTGTGTGTGTGTGTGTGTGTGTGTGTGTGTGTGTGTGTGTGTGTGTGTGTGTGTGTGTGTGTGAAGTACAAAAATTTAAGGATAAGCAAACTCTTGCCAGATTGATTCTTCACTTACTTCAAGGAAAGGATCAATACCTATTAGTTTATATTTGTTTTATTCTTTTTTAGTTTCTGAATATGTCGTTTGGTATATTAGTTCACTGGTCCTTTCTATGTGTTGACTATTAAAGTTCTTGCAGATTGTATTTAATTCCACAGAGTGAACTCTGTTAATTCACACTTCTCAGATTCCCCTTTAAAGCCATTTTTTGCCATCATACACTGGTGGTAAATTGAGAAAATCGGTCTTGAATGTAATAAATTAAGGGATTTGAAAATATCACTCCATAATCCTTATTAGATTTATCATCTAAAACTGATAGCTCACTTTCTACCTACAAGATTGGTAAATAAGGGGAATATTATGAATACAATTACACTGAATTTGGGTTTTAGCAAGGCTTTTCACAAAATCCTTTATCTTTAGGCTTAAAAATATCAGACAGGGGCTGGGAAGGTGGCTCAGTGGTAGAGCGCTTGCCTTGCATGCCAGAGGCCCTGGGTCTGATTCCTCAGCACCACATAAGCAAAAAGAAAAAAGCCGGAAGTGGCACTGTGGCTCAAGTGGTAGAGCGCTAGCCTTGAGCTGAAGAGCTGAGGGACAGCGCCCAGGCTCAGAGTTCAGGCCCCACGACCGGACCCAAAAAAATATATATATATAAATATATATCTATCATATATATATATATATATATATCATATATATATATATATATATATATATATATATGATATATATATATCAGACAGCAACAGGATACCGGTGGCTCACGCCTGTAGTCCTAGCTATTCCAGGAGGCTGAGATCTGAGGATCATGGTTCAAAGCCGGCCTGGGCAGGAAAGTCTGTGAGACTCTTATCGCCAATAAACCACCAGAAAACCCTGAAGTAGTACTGTGGCTCAAGTGGTAGAGAGCTTTCCTTGAGCTGAAGAGCTCAGAGACAGCACCCAGGTCCAGAGTTCAAGCCCCATGACCGACCCCCCTCCAAAAAAAAAATCAGACAGATGACACTTAGGAATTGATAAATATATAAAGATTACTGGTTAGTGATGTTATATTGTCAAAGAGAGTGGGCTCTGCTTTACGTTGTACAGTCTTTTCTGTGTTTAGTGTTCACAATCTATGAGGAAAGTTCTGTTGTTATCCTCATTTTATAGATGGAGAAACTCAGGAACAAAGCACTGTAGTCACCTATTCCGGGTATGTCAATTAGTAATGAAAGGGCCTAAAAAAAAAAAAAAGGAATAATTAGTGATTTTATTTTATTTTTTTGGGGGGGTGCGGTCGTGGGGCCTGAACTCTGGGCCTGGGCGCTGTCCCTCCGCTCTTCAGCTCAAGGCTAGCACTCTACCACTTGAGCCACAGTGCCATTTCCAGCTTTTTTCTTTTTGCTTATGTGGTGCTGAGGAATTGAACCCAGGGCCTCATGCATGCAAGCCAAGCGCTCTGCCACTGAGCCACCTTCCCAGCCCTAATTAGTGATTTTATAAACTCAATCAAAAATTACATTAACAGTATAAGATAGAATTTAAAGTTGAATATGAAATTTTGCTTTTGGGTTCTGAGGAACAAAAGATTTCAGAGGAAAATTATCTACAGGTTGATTGTAAATTCTAGTATGAAGTAGAAGACTCACAGAAATAAAATGTGCAAGTGGGCAATAGAGCCTCACGTCTGTACTCCTAGCTGCGCAGGAGGCTGAGATCTGAGGACTGTGGTTCAAAGCCAGCCCACGCAGGAAAGTCCATGAGACTCTCATCTCCAATAAACTATTCAGAAAAGGCTGGAAGTGGCTCTGTGGCTCAAGTGGTAGAGCACTAACCTTGAGTTCAAACCCCAGGACTGGCAAAAAAAGAAAAAAGAAAGAAAAATTATGAATTATGCAATGCAAGATGATGATGGTCCTACTCTACTTACTAGCCAGACATAATATGCAGTGGGTACCAACAAAGTAGAATTAGGATGCAGGGTCTGTAATCATGGTAAATATAAAACTCTTGCCAAAGATGCTAAGTTTTAAAAGGAAAAGACAATGGAGTTGTAACAAAGTTGCATTGGGCAAAATTGTAGACTAATAGATGGTTGCATGCAAGTGTCATCTTGGATTTGGTAGCATTTCAGATTTCAGCTTTATAGTTTACAGATAAGAGATGTTCAAACTATGTACAACTCCTAAAATATTAGCAATGAGTCACCCTCAACTTCTACTCAAAATCCATCAAAATGCTAACCCTTAAGTCCATTTGTGTGTATGTATGTGTGTTGCTAAGGATTGAACTCAGAGCCTTGCTAGGCAAGCACTTCTGACCTATAACCCCAGCGTTAAGTAAATTCTAATTCTAAAATATTGTTATATGCTTTATTGTAAAGAGAGTCAGCAGACAAAAAAGAAATAACTGAGGTTCAAAGTGTAGCTCCAGCGGTAGAATAGCCAGTGAGCAAAAGCGGCAGATACTGAGTTTGAGTTCCAGTCTAGGACAGAAAAAAGGGTCTGAATAGTCGATGGTAGGTTGGATCAGATAACCTTTAAGATTCTCTTTTGTGCAGTTCATGCAGATATAAGGTGTACTTCATATATGACACTTTGAGTCATGAATAAAAAGTGATATGGTTAACTATAATCTTTCTTATTTTAAAGATGGACAGTGGGACTTGTCAAACTATCACCTGTTAGACCTTGGACGGCCTCACCATTCCATCCGATGCATGACTGTGGTACACGACAAAGTCTGGTGTGGCTATAGGAACAAAATCTATGTGGTTCAGCCAAAGGCTATGAAGATAGAGGCAAGTTTGTCTATATTTTGTGTTTATTGAATATATATCACCCAAAGACCATAAAACTATCATTTTCAGCTTTAGAAATTGTTTTGGGGCACCTCAGTGATATTTTTGGATGTATTAACTTTCTGTTACTTCACCTCTTTTTCACATTCAACTCTGAGGGTAGTAATTGTTTTCTTTGTTTGTTTTTTCTTTAAGAAAGTAGTAGTCACATGTGCAAGTTTACATGTGTCTACATATGTATACATACTTACATTTTATTTGGCTACATGGTTCTTAGTATGTTTAATATGTAAGGATTGGTTGACAGGAAGTCTCAAATTGGCACATACCCATCCTACACAAATTCATCATTATTGCTTAAAAAAACAAAAACTTCCAGCAAGAAAAGCCTAGGTTAAATTTCTACTTCTCTCCTTTCCCAAATCCCATTCCTTTCCTTAAAAACCCTGAGGTGGTTAACCATTTAGTGCTTATTTTCATACTTATTCTTTTTTTTTTTTTTTGGATCCGGTCGTGGGGCCTGACTCTGGGCCTGGGAGCTGTCCCTCAGCTCTTCAGCTCAAGGCTAGCGCTCTACCGCTTGAGCCACAGCACCACTTCTGGCTTTTTCTTTTCGCTTATGTGGTGCTGAGGAATCGAACCCAGGGCCTCGAGCATGCAAGGCAAGTGCTCTACCACTGAGCCACCTTCCCAGCCCCTCATACTTATTCTTTAAATAACAATGTGGATTCCTTTCTGTTTAATTATATATTAGGTCTTTTTTTGAGTGTGTGTGCAAGTCCTGGGGCTTGAACTCAGGGTCTGGGCACTGTCCCTGAGCTTCTTTTGCTCAAGACTAGCTAGCACTTTACTACTTGAGCCACAATACCACTTCTGGCTTTTTGTGTTTATGTGGTACTAAGGAATGGAACCCAGGGCTTCATTCATGCTAGGCAAGCACTCTACCACTAAGCCACATTCCCAGTCCCAGGTCTTACTTTGTATATTGCTTTGCACCAACACAAAATCCTGAGTTCATAACTATTGAACACTGCTGTATAATATTGATGTGCTATTCATTGGTTCCTTGTTCTTATTTATGTAAGGATTTGTTTCAAAAGAAATAAATTTTGCATCTTAGGATGCAAAAGCATCCTAGAAGGAATGAAACTATGTTTAGAAGAACAGTTATATTAAGAAAACAATATTTAGGCTTCTTTAATAAACTCTGTATTCAGAAATATTGTTTGTTTTTGCCTTACTGCATTTGAATTCAGGGCTTTGCGCTTGCTAGATATAGATACTCGATAGGCACATACCCAGTCCTTTTTTGCTTTAGTTATTTTGAGATAGGGTCTCCGTTTTTTGTTGTGTTTTGTTCTGGTTTTTGTCCAAGTCTATACCTGGACCTTTATCTGCCAATTTTATGCCACCCATCATAGCTGGGATGAGAGACACAACATACCCAGCTTCTGTTGAGATGGAATCTCATGAACATTATTTTTCCTGGCTGGCCTGGAACTGTGATCCTTCTGATCTCCACCTCTGACGTAGCTAGGATGACAGGCATGTGTCGCTGCCCCCAGCTATTGAGTTAGAAGGGGTCTTGCAGATATGCCTGGTTTTCCTCCAAACTCAGTCTTCTTGATCTCAGCCTTTCTCAAATAGTTAGGATTTCAGATGAGCCACTGGTCACAGCTGCTTAATTTTAGAAATAGGACCTCACTTTTTTTCCCAGCTTCTCCTAGACTGCAACCCTCCTAGTTATGCTTCCCACTATAGCTGAGATGACAGGCATGTTCCGCCGTGCCCATCTTTGCTTCTCCTGTTGCTATGGGAGGTTCTTACAAATTTTTTATCTGAGGTATATGTCAACTTCAGTCCTCCCAATCTCAGTTTCCTGAGTAGATAGGAATACAATACAAATGTACTGTATAGGAATCCTATACTTGGCTTACACAGCCACCATGTCTGGCTATATTAAAACTTGACTTCCTGGGAAACAAAAGTAATTTTGTGATTGGACGTCTCTCCTAGAAATCATTTGATGCACACCCGAGGAAGGAGAGCCAAGTGCGGCAGCTTGCATGGGTCGGTGATGGCGTGTGGGTCTCCATTCGTTTGGACTCCACACTCCGTCTCTATCATGCACACACATACCAACATCTGCAGGATGTGGACATTGAGCCTTATGTGAGCAAAATGCTAGGTAAGCTTCCAGAACCTTTTCTCTGTTCTAATTATGTTTATTTATTAATTATGTTGTTTATTCTTGTTTATTTCTTTTGTAATGGGACAAACACTATCACTGAGTTATATCCAACCCCTCCTGACCCCTTTTCACTTTTAAATTATCTGAATAATCTACCAAAAAAGGTTGCCCTAAGAATAGTAAACTCTTCTCACTGAAAATCCTGAGTTAAATACTCCATAGTATCTGGTGGAACTTGGGTATACTTCTTTTTTCCTTTTCTTTTTTTGTTTTTGTTTTTGTTTTTTGTTTTGTTTGTTTGTTCTTGGGGATTGAACTTAAGGCCTAGGCTGGCTTCAAACCACAATCCTCAGATCTCAACCTCTTGAATAGCTAGGATTATAGGCATGAGCCTATAATGGCACCCTGCCTGCAAATATTTCTTTCTTTCTTTCTTTCTTCCTCAAATCTAACCCATCACTGTTAATTCTGCCAAGTCTAAAAATACCTTAAGTCAATTACTACTTTTTGTTGGCTATTCTCCCCCTAGAAAGGGTGACTGTCCTTTCCCTGCTAGATAAACTTGTGCCTCTTAACTGGGTTCCCTGTCTTCACTCTAGTCTGTTGTCTGCATAGTAACAAGTGTGCAAAAATTCACTTGCCTTAATGAGGTCATGCAAACTACTCTTTTTTTTTTTTTTTTTGTCGGTCGTGGGGCTTGAACTCTGGGCCTGGGCGCTGTCCCTCAGCTCTTCAGCTCAAGACGAGCGCTCTACCACTTGAGCTACAGCGCCACTTCCGGTTTTCTGGTGGTTTATTGGAGATAGGAGTCTCACGGTCTCTCCTGCCCGGGCTGGCTTTGAACCGCGATCCTCAGATCTCAGCCTCCTGAGTAGCTAGGATTACAGGCGTGAGCCACCAGCGCCCGGCTAATGCAAACTACTCTTACTGCTTACTTTCTTCTGCCCACATTGACCCACCCCTTTCCAGACTTTCTTATGTGCTATATCCTCTGCCTAACAAATTCTTTCTCATCTTTTCTTCTTAGCTCTCAGATCATAGCCCATAAAACATATCCAGAACAGACCTTTGTTTCAGTCTTATACTTTTCCTTCATGTGTTTATTAATATGATCATTACCAGTATTATGTGATTCTTGTTGATACCATGAAGCCCCTGAAGGGCAGGGATGTCTCTTGTCTTGTTCTCCACTGTATTTTTAGCACCCACTTGTGTGCTATGTAACTATTAGGGATGTCATAGAGGATTCCTTTTATAACAAAAGGTTGAAGCAGATCAGTGTTTTTAACCTTTACAGAGTCATTGCCCTTAGAGACTGACCATAGCTGCTCATGCTCTTCATATAATGGTGGAAGTGAAGTCTCCTTCCAACACTGGCTCTGTGGTCAGGCCCTCAATTCTTGGCTTGAACTCTGGGCTTGGGTGCTGTCCCTGAGCTCTTCAGCTCAAGGTGAGCACCCTACCACTTGAGCCACAGCACCACTTCTGGTTTTCTGGTGCTTAATTGAAGATAAGAGTCTCTCACAAACTTTCCTGCCTGAGCTGGCTTTGAACTCAGATCTCAGCCTCCTGGGTAGGATTACAGGCATGAGCCACCAGCACCTGGCAGACCCTCAATTCTTACAAGTAGAACTAATGAAGGACTGATATTGTTGTCTTAAATGTATTATCTGTTTTGTCAGAATTCCTTTCAAATCCCTGAAAAATACTGTCAATTATGAAAATTTTTTAAAATAGATATGTTTGTTCTTGCTAAATTATTAGGATGCTCTAATATTCTAATATTTCTAAGCTGTTTAGAGCCTATGTGTATAAACAAGTAAAATGTGTAGGTTTTGTTAGAAAAGATTTTTTTTCATGAAAAGAAAGCCAGAGCTTCATCAGCTAATAAAATTCATCAATGCATTTGTTTTCCCAGTCTAGTAAATTAGAAGTTTGTGCTTTGGTTTGGAGTTGCAGTACCTCCCTCTGACTGATAATGTAATGCCATCCACACTTAAAATTTTCTTTTACCTTTAACCCGGACTTAGCCAATAGGTGATAAAGCCAAGTAAGAGTTCACTTTGAGGTTACCTTCCTTCAGCAGATATTTTTTCTCTGTTGTATTAAAGCTGCTACTCTAATGGATTTTGAATCTAAAACACTGCTTCTGACTTTTTAATAAAATGTTCTCATTCTTCCCTCTTTTACAGGTACTGGAAAACTGGGCTTCTCTTTTGTAAGGATCACAGCTCTTATGGTGTCTTGCAATCGTTTGTGGGTAGGGACGGGAAATGGTGTCATTATCTCCATCCCGTTGACAGAAAGTAAGTATGCTTCTAAATAACTGTCCTGAGACAAATAAAATGTCAGGAAGTAATTGTATCTAGAATTCAGGAGGAAGGAATTGTATAGATACTGGCAAATCTGTGGTAACTCAGAAATTCATATTAGTCTTTGACTCTTCCTATGAAGTTTAAGAATGTCAGAACCACCATTCATAATTCAGTGTTCTTCGTAGGAAGAGTTCTTTTGCTCAATTCAGGAATCACAACCCCATTTCATCTTTCAAATAAAAAGGGCGAAGTCTTATTTTTTTTTTTCAGCTCTATTATACCAGTATCTAGAAACACTACCAGTTATCCTGTTAGTCATCATAATTTTTATATCTCCTTAAAAACTGGCTTTAGGTTTTCCACTTACTACATTTGAGGTTAAAAGTAAGTTGTAGGAGAGATTTTTCAGAAGCTAAGCAAGACTTCCTTGTACTAAAGATAGTAATCTATTCTCTGTGTGAAAAGAGTATGGTTTATTATTTTTGTGAACAAAATGTATCTTTCTCATGCTATATTCCATTACATTGATCATCCATGAAGTGTTTTTGTTTTGTAAAATGCATGGGCTGACATTGTTCAAGATGCACTGTACTCATAATCTGATTTGCTGAATTGAAACCCCTTTTCTTAAAAAATAAATTTTAAAAATGCAGGGACAGGGGCTGGGAAGGTGGCTCAGTGGTAGAGTGCTTGCCTTGCATGCATGAGGCCCTGGGTTCAATTCCTCAGCACCACATAAGCAAAAAGAAAAAAAAGCCCAAAGTGGCACTGTGGCTCAAGTGGTAGAGCGCTAGCTAGCCTTGAGCTGAAGAGCTGAGGGACAGCGCCCAGGCCCAGAGTTCAGGCCCCACGACTGAACCCCTCCCAAACAAAATTAAAAATGCAGGGACAGGGACTAACATAGAAAAAAAAAAAAACCCAAAATCTCATAATAAAAAGATAATACTCAAGCCAGGCAAAAAGAAAAAAAAGCCCAAAGTGGCACTGTGGCTCAAGTGGTAGAGCGCTAGCCTTGAGCTGAAGAGCTGAGGGACAGCGCCCAGGCCAGAGTTCAGGCCCCATGACTGAAACCCCCCCCCCAAAAAAAAAAATTAAAAATGCAGGGACAGGGACTAACATAGAAAAAAAAACCCAAAATCTCATAATAAAAAGTTAATACTCAAGCCAGGTGCTGTTAGCTAACATCAGCAGTCCTAGCTACTCAGGAGACTGATATCAGAGGATCATGGTTCAAAGCCAGCCCAGGAAGGAAAAAACTCTTATTTCCAATTAACTACCAGAAAAGCCATAAGTGGAGCTGTGGCTCAAGTGGTAGAGTGCCAGCCTTGAGCAAAAGAAGCTCAGGGACAGTACCCAGGCCCTGAGTTGAAGCCCCAGACTCACACCAAAAAAAAAAAAAGAAAGAAAGATAATGTTCACCTTAGAATCTTTCTACACACATACACAAAGAAAAAATACTATAAAGAGAAAGCTTAGCAATCAAGAAATGCACCACATCAAGTTCTCAGGGGTTTGAAGAGAAAGCTTAGCAATCAAGAAATGCACCACATCAAGTTCTCAGGGGTTTGGTTCACTTTTACTAAAACGGCTTTAAAATTAGGGAGGAAACAAAATCATAGTAAAACATTGTCAGGTTTTTTTGTTTGTTTGTTTTTTGGCACTGGGGGTTTGAACTACCACTTGAGCCACTCCTCTACCTCAAATTGCCCTTTTGAGCAGAGTTATTTTCTAGAGGTCTTGGTAAGAACTTACTGCTTGGTATTATGCCAAGTTGGACCCTGTTAATTTCATTAGGGGCCAAATAGAGGCTGAGAGTGGTGGCTCACAGTAATGCTTCTCCTCCCTGTCATGCCCCTCTCCGTGTCCCCTTTCCTCCTTTCTCACTGTAGCCGTAATCCTCCACCAGGGACGTTTACTGGGGCTGAGGGGTAAGTGCAGATCCTGAACCAAGTCTGTTCTCCCTGGCTTCTCACAGACACTGTGAGGCTGTCCCCTCTTCTCTAGAACCCCCTCTTGAATGTTCTTCAGTGTCACCCACTGGCAGTCAGCATTGCAGCAGATTTTTTTTTCTTTTAACATTTCTTATATGGCCACCAAATGCTCAGCAGCTTAGTCTATTTATCATCTTTCGTTGCAACTGAACTTTCTTTCAGACTTGTTTTCTCTCCAGTAAAAACATGAGACATCTTTTAAAACTGCCATTAATCTACATTATTTACTCTTGTTACCGATCATGTTTCTTTCAACTCACTTACCTGTGGATGGGGGATGTTTTGTAAGTCTGGTCACTCCGCAGTAATCCAGCAAACCATTGACCTGGAGTAAATGAGAGCTACTCTGTGGTGTTGGCTTTCCCTGCCCCTTCAAGGGACTTAGTCTTATCACAAAAGAGAAAAATATACTCAAGTGCTCTAGACTATATAATAGCTAGATTCGTTAAATGAGGACTGAAAAACAAAAAAACTACCCAAACAGACAAACCGAACATTCAAATGTTTTCTTTTGTTCTAAAAAACTAATAGATGTTTTAAAACATAAGCTTAGTTATTGCTAGACTGGCAAAATCCCCTACTCCATTTACTGAAGTACTTAAAAATAACTAGCATGCTATGTCTTTTTTCCAGCTTTGCCTTGAATTGGCGTTGCTGCCCTTGTGTTATGTCAACTGGCTGTAGCTTTTAGATGATGTCCTAAGGATTAACCAGTAACCTCTTACATCATTACTATTTTCTGGAGGAAAATACTTGGTATTTAATTTTTCTATTGCAGCAAATAAAACCTCAGGAGCACCAGGTAATCGTCCTGGAAGTGTAATTCGTGTCTATGGTGATGAAAACAGTGACAAAGTGACACCAGGGACATTTATTCCCTATTGTTCAATGGCACATGCACAGCTTTGTTTCCATGGGCACCGGGATGCTGTGAAATTCTTTGTGGCAGTCCCAGGTGAGTTAGATTGCTTTGTTGTGGTAGTCCATGTAATCCATCTCTCTTCTGTCTTCCATTGCTTTACTGCTAAGTGCTAGTATCACAGGTGATCTCAATATACTATACAAAAGAAGCTCTGTATTGAAAGTATGACTAAAGTGCTATAAGGTATTTTTTCTTATGAAAAATGATTTTCTTTTTCCTTCCAGAATTAAAATTTTTTGGGTATGATGATACACACATGTACTCTCATTACTTGAGGGGTACAAGCAGGATTATGAAAGTTTGAGGCCAGCCTGACCTATGTAGCAAATGAATAAACTGGGAGAGAGTGACGGAAGCCATGACATTGCTCAAGAAAGAATGCATTCACCTAACATAGGAAATGGCAGCCCTCTGTATCACCTTAATAATAACTTTTTTAATTTTTTTTTATTGTGAGAATACTGTACAGAGGGTTTACAATTACATGGGCAAGATAATGAGTACATTTCTTATCAAGCATTGTTGCCTTCTCTTTGTTTCCCCTTCCCCCCCTCCCCCACCAAAGTTGTAAAGTTCATTTTTCAACATAACGACTTGTACATCTCATTGTTGCAATGGGTCCACCTGTATCCCTCGTTAAACCCCTAGTTAAACGATTTGTTTTTGCCCTTCCCCTCCACAAATTATACCAACATCAAATATAACTTTTTTTTTTAAGTAAATAGACCAGGTACTTTTGTCTCACACCAGTTACTCAGGAGGCAGAGATCTAAGTATTATGGTTTGAAGCCAGCTTGGACAGAAAAGTTCATGACATTCTGTCTCCAATTAACTAGCCGAAACACTGGACGAGAAGTGTGGTTCAAGAGGTGGTAGGCCAGCCTAACAAGCATGAAGCCCTGAATTCAAAGTCCAGTACTGCCAGAAAAACAAATTCAAATTAGGCCCTTATAACCTTATGGAATTACTTTCTGATAATACAGAGAGTTGTCAAGCATTCCTGATGCTTTGGCTGTGCGTTTGATATATTTACCTTTTTATTTAACTCAGAATATTTTCAGTATTCCCTGTCTTCATCAGTGACAAATAATACTCACTTCTGCTTCTGTGTATACTAGGTCAAGTCATTAGCCCACAGAGTGGCAGTCCTGGCACAGAGCTAACAGGTGACATAGCAGTGTCATCCTCTCAGGAGTCCAGCAGCCAGACACCTGTGAAGTCTATGCTTGTCATCAGTGGAGGAGAGGGCTACATCGACTTCCGGATGGGTGAGTCGTTGCTTCTGGGAGCTCAGCTTCCACTGTGATTGAGGAGGTGGATCTTCACCCACAATGAATGAGAAACTCAGATAATGATGCCTACGTACTTTCCTTAAAATTTCTGGGAAAAAATTTTTTTTTCTTCTTCCTGTTACATGTGTGTATCTATATAAATGTATGTGTGTGTCTATATACACACAGAAGCGGCAAGTCTGGAAGTGGAGTAGGGAAAGAACAGTGTGTGTAAGCTGTAAATCACTGTGCAGATACAGAGCTCATTGATTTAAAAGATACTAAATGGTTGTAAAGAACGTAATACTGTAGATCAGTGACAGATACTTTGTTTTCAATTTTATATTTTATTTTCATTTGTGTGTGTGTGCACACTCGTGTACTGGTGCAAGGGCTTGCACTTGGAGTCATGTGATCTTGCTTGGTTGAGCCTCACCTCCTTCTGGCTTTTTTTTCTTTCCTGATTAGAGATAAGAGTCTCAAGGATTTATCTGCCTGGGCTAGCTCCAAAGCTCAATCCTCAGATCGCAGATCTCCTGAGTAGCTGGCTATAGGTATAGTTACATTGTAAGCACATGTTTATATTTAAGTTGAGAAAATGAATTTTGCCCTGAACATGTTGCTTTCTATATTTTGACATTGCTGTGAGAAGCCCGAGGGGGAGGAGTGGAGCTACTAGAGAAACATGCATATATCCAGGGTTTTTATCTACTACAGTTATTCAGCCAATCTGTGTGTGTATACTTTTTTTTTATTTATCTTTTTGTCCAGTAGAAGTCAGGTGGGGGTACATCACATAATTCCAGTAGATCAATGGACTACCTTTGTTTCCTCGGGTATACATTTTTAAGATTCTGCTGAAGAATTCTTCCCACTAGATAGGTTTTTATAGGCTGTTCCACAATAGCCCTGTTGTGCACAGCAGAAGTAAGTGATATGTGCTCGTGGGCAGGAGGGTCCTTATGCCTGTGCTGGGCCCTGGAGAGTGGGGTCTGTGATCAGGACTTGTGCCCTGCAGAAGGTCCTGAAGCCCACCTGTTACCAGGCCTCTTCATTTCTCCATCTTCATCATGAAGATGTGTGTGGCAGGAAGTGAGGGTTGCGGGGGGGGGGGGGGGGGGGGGAGGGGGGGGGAGAAGAGGAGAAAAGCCTAGGATAGCAGGTGGTGAATATGCCATCTTACAGGGTCACCATTTGAATTTATTTATTTTTTTTTGGTCGTGGGGCTTGAACTCTGGGCCTGAGCGCTGTCCTTCAGTTCTTCAGCTCAAGGCGAGTGCTCTACCACTTGAGCCACAGCGCCACTTCCGGTTTTCTAGAGGTTTATTGGAGATAAGAGTTTCACAGATTTTCCTGCCTGGGCTGCCTTTGAACCGCAATCCTCAGATCTCAGCCTCCTGAGTAGCTAGGATTACAGGCATGAGCCACCGGTGCCCAGATACAATCTGAATTTCTTACGTTTAGATGAGTTACCTTTGAGAACTGTCATTATGTTAATAAGCATGAGTTATTTGATTTTAGTTATTTGCTATGCTACCTTTTAATGTCTGCATATTCAATCTCAGTCTTTTTGTTTTGTTACAGTTGTTGTGCCAACCTTGGGGCTTGAACTCAGGCCCTGGGCATTGTCCCTGAACTTATTTTACTCAAGGGTAGCATTCTACCACTTGATCCAGAGCTCCATTTCCAGCTTGGGGGGGGGGGGGGGCGCGTAGGATAGTTTATTGGAGATAAGAATTTCATAGGTTGTGTTTGAACCATAATCCTCAGGTCTGGGCTGGGAAGGTGGCTCAGTGGTAGAGCGCTTGCCTTGCATGTATGAGGTCCTGGGTTCGATTCCTCAGCACCACATAAGTAAAAAAGAAAAAAAACGGAAGTGGCGCTGTGGCTTAAGTGGTAGAGCACTAGCCTTGAGCTGAAAGCTGAGGGACAGCGTCCAGGCCCAGAGTTCAGGTCCCACGACCGACCGGACCAAAACAAAAAACAAAAAAAACATAATCCTCAGGTCTCAGCCTCCTGAGTAGCTAGGATTACAGTCCTGAGTCACTGGTGCCCAGTTCAATCTTACTTTGAAATAAACTGTCCATTTTGAAGGAACACAGAATTGAATACCTTTGCCTTCTTAGCTTTCAATTTCTGTTGCCATCAGTATGAAGACATATTATGATGACTTCCCAGCGTGGTACAGTAAAGTAGCCTTTATCAGTGTAGTGAGAAATGAACTTCTCAGAAGTCAGATAGTGGCTTGAGTGTATATGGGTGAAGATCTGCATCCTGGTATTGGCTTCCACTATGTTCTCTGCAATGGAAATCATATAAGCTTTGTGCCTCTTATTCATGGCTAGCAATGAGCACTGTCTGATTTATCTCATTCTCTGTGGCTCAACCTAACCCAGTCTCCTTCTTATCCACTAGGTGATGAAGGTGGAGAATCAGAACTCATTGGAGAGGATCTTCCACTGGAACCTTCAGTCTCCAAAGCTGAAAGGAGTCACCTGATAGTGTGGCAAGTGATGTGCGGCGCTGAGTGATCCCCTAGGAAACAGGCAGAGACGGGGAAGCATCTCTTCTGCATGGCTTATTTTCCCTTTTCCTCTTAATTTAATGCTCTTTTTGTGAAATAAGTTTCACCACATAATGTGTGAGCATTTTTTCCTGTTAACTTTATATTACAATATCTGTTTTTACCATAACAATACAGAGGAACTAGCTATTTTACTGCACCAGTGTTATAGGCAATTTCAGTATGTTGTGAACAAATCAAAGAATGTTTACTTTCTGCAAACTGGTGAATTACAGAAAGCAATCCAGATGTGGTTTACTCTGCCGCAGTCTAATGTCACTTACTTCATTTGATGGAGTCACTTTTTAGCCGTCACTAATAATGGAACTAATGGAAAAACTTTAAAATGAAGTTGTACCATGACATACAATAGTAGAGTTTTCCCCAATGTATTATAAAATTGACACACACTAACACCAGATTGATTATCAGGATTTATCTAAATGTCCCAAGAGGGCTAAAAGCTAATTGTAAATTACTTAACTTTCACTTTCAAAATTGACAAATCTTGTTTATATGGTATATAAAACTTTGTTTTCATCAGGTTTTGGGGGGTTTTATATTAAAGGAATTAAGACTACACTATTTAAATAAAAGTTTCCTGTTTTTCTCTTATTAGAGCTCCCTAAAGTATATGAGGCCTGCTTCTCTGAATATCCGGATTTGTTTTTAGATTTGTTTCATCCATTTTCATACTGATACATTTAAGAAGAGGTTTATTGTTTAGAAAACTTAAAAAGATATTCTGGGAAGCTCAGAGAACAGTTTAAGTACTGGAAGGTTTTTTTTAAAGGAAATTGTGTTTGTGTCCCTTTTAACAAAGGATGGTGGTATTCCATTCCGTTTTTTTCCATGTCTGTGGACTGTTCATGGGCTGCTTTTATCTGTTAATGAAAGTAAAACTGCCATTAACAGAGTGGTGATAAGAATCTAGCCCAACCAGATGAATCCAGAATTTGAATTGGAAATTTATTTTCTTTTGTTCTATCTGAAAATATCAAATTGTACTTGGTATTTTGGATGTAAATAACACATTGAAGCTTTTGCACTCTCTTAAGCTCAAGAGCCGCCTTCAAAGAGAAAAAGTATGTCAGGAGGGAGACAAAGCCAAGATGTCACAGAAAAAGTCAGGGTGGACATTACATCTTTTCACTCACAACGTCCATTTAAAAAGTACATTAGAGTCTGGGTTTAACTGATGTTTAATCATTTTTTAAACCATAATGTAGTTTTTTCCCCTTCAAGCTTCCTGAAAATGTTTGATTTATCATTTCTTATTCATTACTCTGTGCAAAGCTAAACATAAGTTTTTCTACTATTTTAAGTTTATTAACTTATAGAAACATATTCCCAATCATATCATTGGAAGGTCTGCTTCAAAGAAAAGAAAGCAAACATAGGTCTTTTAATTGTCTAGCATTCTTAAGTACCAGGGATTTTTTTTCTGAACTATTATGCAAAGATGCCTGTAAAAAGAATGTCAGTGACTCATGCATATATCTAATTAGATTAGATTATAAAGTACATGGGGTTTAATGAGCCCAAGGAGACTATAGGACCCATTTGGCCGCATGTTGTATAAGCAATTGTATACACAATAAGGTTGTGGTCACTGTATGTTTTAGAAGGGAAACCTGCTTTGGTAGAGCTATATTTACTGGATAATTTTGTGCTTGAGCTGTGTAGTCACTTTTGTTCAAGGCACAAAATGTTGGCCGCTTTGCCATAGCTTGTTCTGTCTTCATTTTAAACCAGAGCCATTTTTTTGGCAAAAAAAAAAAAGCATTATGACATTTATTGGAAATGCTGTATAAATTAATAAGGACACCAAAGGATTTGGGAATGTTTGTCCCAAGAAGGAAGTGTCCTAGAGTCAGACTACTCCTGTCCAGAAGCCTTCCACACGTTTGTATGACCTGATGTAATTTAGGAAATCAGGAGCTAAAGATGAAATGAGAAAACTTGCAATAGTTGTAATTATTCTTCTTAAACTTACAGGGACATAAGTTTATAGTTATTTTATTCAAGGTTGTCAGATTATCTATGGCCCTGTTAATTAACTTAAGGGACTAGAAAAGACAAGAAAGCCTGTACAATTTGTTCTACAATTTGTTGCTTATGTTTGTAATTTCATTTTAACCATTTTCTACTCATTACTTCCCTTCCCCTTTCCCCAATAACAGGTTTATACTTTTGTAATGTTGTCTTGGTCAAGGTGGTAACCTTTGGTAGAAATGCCAGAATGTAAGCTTCTTGCAAGCTGCAAAGGGCATATAAACTGCCTTAGCTACTGCATAGGGCAGAAAGGAGGTCTGAGTATCTCATTGCCCACATAAAAATTTCATTTTCTACATGAAGACATCAGGAATACTGAGAATTTTCATTTTGTTACATCTGGATTATATATGAAGTCAAACCATATAAAATTATCAGTGTTTGCCCATTGCTGATCTGCACAAATGGCAACCTCATACTTACTATAAAGTCTCCAGGAGGCAGAGGCAGAGGAAGAGTATTTTCTAGGAACTGAGTTGTAAGAGTGCTTTTCTGTAACTTGGCTGGATCTATATTGTTAAAATAGGAAAAGATTTCTTAAAAGTTATAGCTTGTTGCTGAATGTTGGTGGCTCATGCCTATAATCCTAGCTACTCAGAAGGCTGAGATCTGAGGATCATGGTTCAGAGCTAGCCTGGACAGGAAAGTCTGTGAGACTCTGATCTCCAATTAAGCACCAAAAAATGCCAGAAGTGGAACTGTGGCTCAACTGGTAGAGTGCTTGCCTTGAGCAAAAAAACCCAGAAACAGTGCCCAGGCCCTAAGTTGAAGCCACAAGACTGGCACACACACATACACAAAAAGAGCTGCAGCTTGTTGAGAGTCTGTAAGACATTTTAGCACAAAATATGCAGCACAGGACTTCAGATGATGTGTGTTTGCATAAGAAAGGGTTAAAATGCATTCCTTCTCAAAGTTGCAGTATTGATCCTTTCTAGTAAAAGCCTTCCTAAATTTAGGAAGATACTTTGTGACATAGGCAGCCTTAATAATAAAACAAATTGTCTCATAATGTTAACTTTCCTGAAGAATGTGTATCTCGCCCATCTCTTGGACCTGAGTATTTATTTCCTATGAGTATTAAAACCATTACCAAAGGACTCAGCCGGGTCCAGGGTTCTTCATAATTGATCATGTTGAAAAAAAGACTGGTTTGATCCCACTTTATAACCTGGAAAGAGGAGATAAAATTACATACGGAAATCATAAATGCTTTTCTAACAGGGTTATGCTGTTCTGTAACACTAAATGTTTTTTCTCTTTCTCTTAAAATTTGTTTTATTAATTTTGTCCTACATTCTCAATATATGAATATGTTTTAACCATTTATGTTTTAAAGTTGTTTTTTAAAAAAAATCCTAGATATCCAGAACTTTACTTGCCTCTAAAAAAAATGGGTTCTTGAGCACCCCACCTGCTGTCTCTTAGAGGCTGAGGCTTCATTTCTGTGAGCAAAAAGCTCAGTTAGCAATGTAGTTACTTCAGTATTTATTTCTATTATGGAATCCCTGGGGTTCGGAATGTAACTTTGTACATGAAATATATATAAATATGTATATGAAACATGTATGAGTGTTTTTTTAACCTTTCTTGGGAGTGTAAACATGGTTTCCATCTAATATTCTGCCCTTGCAAACACATCATGGCTGAAGGTCAAGAGTAGCATTTGGCCATGGGCCAGAGGTGAGCAGACACTTGTCTGCTTGGCTCCGCATTAGATGAGGTCTGGTCATGGACAGGGGGCTCTCATGCCAGGTAACAGCCAAGGTGAGGTGGGCTGCTTGCCAGATGACTTAAGTGGTAAGAGGCAGCTGCAGCATGGATTTTAATGACCCCACGAGCTTGTGATCCGCTTGGCTGAGAGAGCAATATTCTGGAAGGAAGGATAGTTGTAAGGCTAATCATGTGGAGGTCCAATATGAATCCCCACTCAGTGCAGTGGTATTTGGTGTCTTGTCTTTGGTTATGCCTTCAAGAAAGGCGGGGCAGGATGTAGGGACAATCTGGCTGCAACCCCATTGATCACCAGAGTTGATTCGGCTGATCTGGCTGGCTAGGCAGATGTCCACTTCCACCTTCTCGACTCCATGTGTGTCCCTCCCAACACAGAATTCTTGTTCAAAGAGGACAACCATCCCTGATAGAGGAGAACCAACCTTTGGCCAAGGGTATACAAGTAACTACACTCCCCTGCTAGAACCTCCAAACATGCTCTCAAGAAAAGGGGGCAGCCAGGCGCTGGTGGCTCACGCCTGTAATCCTAGCTACTCAGGAGGCTGAGATCTGAGGATCGCGGTTCAAAGCCAGCCTGGGCAGGAAAGTCCACCAGACTCTTTTTTTTTGGGGGGGGGGGGTTGTGGGGCCTGAACTCTAGGCCTGGGCGCTGTCCCTCAGCTCTTCAGCTCAAGGCTAGCGCTCTACCACTTGAGCCACAGAGCCACTTCTAGTTTTCCGGTGGTTTATTGGAGATAAGAGTCTTGTGGGGCTGGGAAGGTGGCTCAGTGGTAGAGCACTTGCCTTGCATGCTTGAGACCCTGGGTTTGATTCCTCAGCACCACATAAGCAAAAAAGAAAAAAGCCGAGAGAGAGAGGGAGAGAGAGAGAAAGAGGAAAGAGGGGCACCAGGGCACAGGGAAAGACATGCCAGGGGCATAGTAGCAGGATGGCCCATCTGCTATGGGCACAGTTATCTGTCCAGTGAGGTACAGGATGCTTTAGGATGCTCACTCCTACTTTGCTCTTCTGTGCTGGAAACTGATCAGAGATACTCATTTTGGTTGTGTTAGGGCGCCAGCCTTATAACTGGAACTGTAGTAGCTTGTGTGGAACCAGCCTCAGGCCTCCAGTGTTCAGTGTGGGTAGAAAAGCACTGGCCATTGCAAGGACTCGTCTTTTTCTTTTTCAGCAGTGGTTAATTGTTAAGGAAAAGTTTAATAGATTTCACAGACTGCCATAAATTAATGTGATTTCATTCTAAATTCATTTTATTTAGGGAGACAGTGGTACAGTGAGAGACTGTGAGCCTTCATTCTATCTGGGGCTTACCCCAACTGTTGCTGTAGGGGCTATGTTAACATAGTTCTTGAAACCACATTCTGGCAAGGTCAGAAACTGGCACATGTGTGGCACATGTGGTGTTTGGGAGGACGCTATGCTGGTATCTTTGAACTGGAGGCCTCCAGTGCGTCAAAAGGGAAGGTGACTGGGCACTGGTGGTTCATGCCATTATCCTGAGATTTGAGGATCATGGCTCAGAGCCAGCCTAGGCAGGAAAGTACAAAAGACCATCTCCAATAAGCTTCTTTTTAAAAAAAAAAAAGTGCTGGAACAGAGCCCAGGCCTGAGTTCAAGCCCCAGGAAGGACCAAGATGATCCAAAAGCCATGACCCTGGCTCTCACCCTCTGATTCTGTGACCCCGCCTTTCATTCACCCAGATAATAACAATACCTGGTAGATAGGATCAGACTACTTCGAATTCCAGTTGCTCAGAACAGCATTGTACAAAAATGAGCCTGAAACTTTAGCTCCTATATTATCACAGTGGTTTCCACTCACAGATAGGGAAAAAAAGAAGTTATGATTTGCTTTGAGGCCCCAGAGGAAAAGTGAACAAAATTAGCTCTGGATCTGAGAAGATATTCACTTGCAAGCTGAAGTTTTCACGCCAGCCAGGAGAAGGCGGTATAGCCAGAATCACCCAGGAGCCATTTACCATGTCTTATTCCTCATTCCTCTCATCTTGGGAGTGTCAGACTCCACTGGTGTTTGGCAAAACAGTTACTGTGATGAGATTGTGATCATTCCATTAAGAACATCTGCTTAGAAGAATGAGAGCAGCCCAGCTGGATCCCACATATCTGTTTGCCAAACAGCACAAAGCTCCATTCACTCTTCACCAGTTACAACCTGCACATGGTGACCCGCCAGCCTGCCACCCCGGGCTCAGCATCAGTCTTCCCTTTGATTCATGAACATTGAAGATTGCAAGACTTTGAACTTACTGCTACATTAGAAACTTTAAAAGTATTTCATCTCCCATGAGCCTGTATTCACTTGCCAAGACTATTTTCCCATGGCTTTTCATAAGGAAAAAAAAAAAGACAAAACTTTTAGTTATCATGCATAGCTTCATTTTTATAACATCTAAAGATTGTTTTGCTGCAGAGAAAGCCCCTTCGGAGAATGTTACCATTGTCAGGTGATCCAGAGGCCTGGCTAGAGGAGATGCCTTGCCTATTACTAAACAGTCCAACTGAGACGAGAAACTAGATGATACAACCAGATTAACTGGATATTGGAGAGTATTACAGGTGTGAGGGAAAGGACAGTCTAAAGTCAGGAGAATGGGTTAGAGCCGTGGATCTCCCAATTTTGTAACTCTTAGGCTTTAACTTTTTTTTTTTTTAAACCCTTTAACTTTAGACTTTACTTTTCACTTTCCTTACTGTGAAGCGAGAATAATATCCCAGCGGGCTCTGGGATGGCTAAGGGAATGTGTGCGCTGGGCATGTGACTGGGGGCTTTGGAAGTTCCCAGGTGGCAGGCACATGCAAATGAACAGGAAACTCTCAAGGAGA